TTAGGAAGCATCCTAAAAGCATACCATATTTACTGTTACAACGCAGGCAATTTAATTGAGACTGCAGCTTCTTTCGTGCAAGTGAAAGGTCACCGCCAAAAGCCTTTCACAAGGTTCACATTGCAAGAATACCATCTTAATTATTGTGTAACTCTGTGATATATTCCAACAATTAACCATGCGTAATTAAAATACTTTGAGTGGTTTGATATTTCTTCTGCTTCTTTTCCTTTTCACTCTGTGCGATTTATAGTGAAATATTTCTGGTCAGCAGCAAGATTCACTCGCAGAATTAATCTCTATGCGAAAGTGATAGTTTCAAACTTGATTTGGACATCATTTCAAGTTTCCTGATTTACTCTCACACAGCCTTGCTCTTGGCTTCTCTTCTTCATCTCTCTATACACCACAAAGTTGAGGAGGAGATCCGAAAAAAAGAATCAGCGACAGCGTGCAATTAGTGAATTTGCTGTACTTTCCTTAAACGCTATATCAAGACAGTGTATCTTAAGTGTACAATTCTTTCTCGAAATTGATGTAATTTGTCCAAAAAATGATCATTAGTGCAAAATGATGGCAGAGGTCAAATTTGTCTACTGCCACACTAATGCGGCAATATGTTTTCAACGGGAATCCGGCAGCGAAAGTGAATCTCGAGTACAAAAGACAAGGTCATTTACACCAAAACTCTAATGAGGGACAGCCAAATTGCCTCTCCGGGATACAATCAGATGGTGGTGGAGGAGAAGACGCGCGCGCGTCCCGGCTGAGAATATGAAAGAAAAGATTCCGCTTGGGCTCCGGCGGGAGAGAAAGAAATAGTTTAGGAAATTACGGGATGAATGGCAAAACGGTAACCATCTACAAATGCTCAAGAGCTGCCCGAGCGATTGCCATTTCAACTAGTTTACTTTTGTACATAGACCTAATTGCAAATCATAAATTTGCCCAATGAAGGAGGTGATTATTTGTAAGCTGGGTCGTTGTATCTCTCAAAATGGTTATTTGGATCAGCGCGAGCAAGAGTCGCACATTCACGTGAGCATTCAGCTGTGGTGAAATGCAAAAAGCTCGAAAATTACGTGTGATTCGCTTTTCTAGGCATGAATTTTAAATTCCCCGGCCAGAATTCCTTCGCTCTGCTTCTTTGCCTGGCTCTTCCCCCAGAGTGCAGATGAAACCACAACAAGATGGTTTTATGGCGGCGGAAAAAAATTAGATGGGAGAAAAAGAACGTAATAAGATGTTAGAAGCAGTAAACTTCCCACTGAAAGTGTATCACTTGAGGTACTTTTGATCAGGTGAATTTGCATTTTATGGCTTCTATGTATCACTCTTTCACACCCAACAATGAGATATGAGCTTAACTTATCTCCAGATGTTAAGTGTGACAAGTTTTTTCTTGCAATTATTATCTCGTTTGGTTCTTTTATGGTTTTTTGACTTGGGAGAATCACTTAAAGAAATCTCCATGTGTTGTCGCCAAACATTGAGTAAATAAAATGCCCCAGTGTTTATTGCTTTGCGTGCATTGCGGGAGAACCTGGGAGAATTGATTAAAGATGATTTTATCAATTGATATTTGTTGGTTTGAAACTGTTTTCTTACTACTTCTCAGATATCATCTGGAGAATTTTTCTCAATTTATCGGCCCTCATCTTATTTTTGCCGCGTCGTGTATTTCAGTAATGAGTAAAATTTGAGATTATTATCTGGGGCTTTTATTGTAATGATTTTTTCGTGTTATTTAAATGTTAAACTTCCGCTGAGTTCGCTGGTATGGAGCAAATGCAAAATTGCTCATCCTTTCATCGCGCGGACCACTTCTTTTTAATTAAGACTTTTCGCCCAAAACATTTCGCCCGCGGTAGACACGACTTAACATTCACTTGAAGCATTGAGATATTGCGAGCAGAAAAAAAGTGATGAGCTTAGGAGAGAATATCATTTTGCCATGGAATTGAATGGGTTTTTGCCATCGCGGACTTTTTGCTCGTGGTTTGGGTTGTACACCCATCACATGTGGAGCCGGGTGGAAAAATGCGCCTGAAGGTGTTAACAGTAGACAATAAAATACGACACGTATAATTTTATCATATGGAAAGTCGTTATTCTTGGCTTTAACGTCTCTATATCGAAGGTACATTCTTGATGTTTGTGAAATCTCTATTATTATTATAAATAGACATATTATTATTTTATAAATGATAATAAAATCTCCATTGAGTTCATGACATTCACCTCGCGGAGAAATGCGCGCCTCTCGCGCTCACCTGCCTATGAAACTTTTAATTGATATTCAAATTGCCAGGATTTGTATTTACCTTCAGATAAGTGATCAATCATCTGGACCTGAAGTTGGAGGTGGTGCGCAATGGCATTTGGCGATTGTGTCGCGCTGCTGCGTGGCTATATGAGAATTAAATGTTGAAAACAGCACGAGATCGTGCCATTTCCACCAATGCAGCGCGCAATAACTTTTTCAAACTGCAGACAGACCTACTCCAGATTGTGGATTATGCTTTCATAAATTTTCCAATTGCGCGACGCGCTCATATGGGAGTCCCCGGGAGAAAGGGAGATTAAGAGATCGCAAGAGGCAGATATCGAGAGTATGAGGCGTACAAGAACGCCCACGACAGGGTCGCCAGGCTCCTCTCTCAAACATAAATAGAATATTAATGAGATCCATTCGCGACTGTGGCACCAATCGACAGTACGATGGAATTTCAAATGCGCTGGCAAATTAAATTGGTGGTCAGAGCCGACAAAAATTCCGCACATACACGAGAGATCAGCGCGATTGTCGCCGGACGCAAAATATTGTCGGTGATTATTTATTATTAGAGTGGATGGAGAGAGTCATTAGTCAGGTTCATTTCTTAATAAATTGATCCTAATACGCGCTTGTATAAATTATTGCATCAAAATGTGACTGAGACTCACGGGGTTAATCAATTGTTCAAATGTGAGTCCAGTGGATTTTCTACAATCCGCGCAGAGCTTTTGCAGCATTGCCACATAGAATAAATATTGGTGGTTTGATTTCACGGGTCAATTTGTCATATTTATGAGTGCAATTTGACCCTGTGAATTGCACTTATTAACCCTGAGACAGAAGGTGGAGAAATGGCCAGGGAGGCAGAGGAGAGAGTTGTGTTGGGAAATGAAGAAAGGCATTTGTGTCTAATGATTGTCGTCAATTATCTGGCTAAGAACTACAGCCAACACAAGCCTGAGCAACTCCTCTTCCGCGATGGCAAGAATAATAATATTTTGCTCCCTAATTCCTCTGGCGCGGCAAATGTGCGCGCGAGATGGGAATCGCGCACAGCCCATGGAGAGTGTCTGGATTTGCACAGCCACCGAAAACGAGGCTGTGCAGCCTCAGTAGCTGAGGTAAATGGTGGACGTTTCTTCTCCTAAATGGAGTAGAGTCACGTCACTAATGGATTGGCACTGACTCTGGCGAGTCTTGAAGTTGACACTGAAGAAGTCTAAGAAGTGATCACCACAGCCACTGTGTGATGTTTTTCTATACTGTATGGTGGCTTCAGTGACTCCTTGTGCGCCCCGCGACGGTCGCGGGGATCATCGAATGGGAGAGAGAAAATTAAATAAATTTCCATACTGCCAAGCGTCTTATAGTGGTGCACATCTGACACAATGCGAGAAGAAATTAACGATGGAATTGTACGGAAGAATGGAGATAAGTTGAAGCCTTCAGTCAAATGAGAATTAATTGAATTCCTGTTTTAGAGTTGTAATAAGCCCTCAAATCTCTTATATATCATCTCATTGGGGATTCGGGACGAATGGCAAACGAATCTCACATGCGATCACATTGATTGGCATGATAAAAGGTCTTTTTCTTTTTTTGCCAAAGACATCTCACCGAGACATCTCCACATCTAATTCATATAGAAAATAATTCATATTCAATTCCCCCGAAACCTTTCACATTTCTCCGACTATCAGCCCGACTATCAGATGGGAAATATCAATTATATATCGATGGAATGCAAATTCTTCCTATAAACAAAGATTTTCATTCATATGTGCATTTTTGATTTGTATATACGAACCACAAGCAACATGGCATATAAACGGCCCCATCAATGGTGGTATCTGTGAGAGATGTCAGGAAATATCACCTTAAATCAGATCTTGGCGATCAGATATGAGATGGTTTATTTATAGGTGCCCCAGAATTGATGTGTGTTTGTTCTATGCCGAGAACCGTGCAAGAAATCAACAAATTTCGCCCAACCAGCCAGAGCAAACACACACACGACACATGGCCTGAGCACAATTGATAGTAATTTGTAATGAAAAGTGATCAATTTGCTGTTCTTGCCAGCAATTTTCAAGCACAAACACCCTGATTGATGTTTACTGTGACACGCACTGTGTGGAATTCCGTCTCTCTGCGCCACGGAGAACAGCTATAACTATGCTGGCTCTTCGAAATTCTTGTGGTCATTTTTCTGGCGAGAAAGAGATCTCGCGTGCACATCATGCACTATTCTTATGTGCACGCACCTGAACATCTTCACGGTGTGACCTGCAAATAACAGTTTATTGGGCGTTTTGACTTGAAAATTGGGGACACAAGCACATATCTCCAGTGACCGCAAGTTGCCATGAAAATCGATTAGAAAAGTCACTTTTGGCTTTAATCTCATAATCTTGTATTTGCATTTCCACGCCTGATCATCCATACTGGATCTCTCAATCTGGCGCGCGGCTTCCTAACCTTCCCAACCTCCCAATCATGATTCGTATAGAAGGAACAAACAAAAAATCGGCAATAGGGCTTTGTGGAGGCAAAGGCCAATCTCTGCTCCACATTGGATTCCCTTGAACTTGGCGTGGAATCGTATAAATCATTGGGAACTGCTCAAAATCAGTGTGACTGACCTCCAGTGGGAATTCCCGCCACCGGAGTTCCCTTGCCCATGGACTCACCATCTCTCTCTCTCGCTCTCTGTCTTTTGCAGCACACTCTGACGGGGCACAGCGGGAAGGTAATGGCCGCAAAGTTCCTGGGCGAGCACACGAGGGTGGTCACGGGCAGTCACGATCGCACACTCAAGGTGTGGGACCTCCGCAATCGCGCCTGCATCGAGACCAAGTTCGCGGGTAGCAGCTGCAATGATCTCGTGACCACGGATGGTTCGGGCTCCTGCATCATCAGCGGCCACTTCGACAAGAAGATCCGCTTCTGGGACACGCGCACCGACTCCTCCTCCAATGACATCGTCCTGTCGGGGCGCGTGGCGTCGCTGGATCTTTCCAGGGATTGTAAATACTTACTGAGCTGCGTCCGCGATGACACCATCAAGCTGCTGGATCTGCGCATGAGTCACGTGGTGAAGTCCTTCAGCCACGATGGCTTCAAGGTGGGCTGCGACTGGTCGCGCGTCTCCTTCAGCTCAGACGCCACATACATTGCCGCTGGCTCCGCGGACGGCGCCGTGTACATTTGGAATGTCGCCGGCCGCCTCGAGACCATCCTCAAGGATCACTCGTAAGTACCATCCCGCCCGCCCTGTCTGCATGCTGTCGCTTATCTCGTAGACTTTGGAGGCTGTGTCGTCTTTCGGATTTGTAACGCTCTCTTGGGCATTTCTCTCTCTGAAAGTTTATTATTAACATTTCTGTTCTGCTCTCGTCATTCGGGTGATCTTTGCACAAAGAATAGCTCAAGTTTATTGTCATGACTATAAAGGTGGAATTAATTGATCTATTAAATAATTAGATTTATCACTGCAAATTTTCTTATCAATACGCGTGTGCGCACATAAAGAAGAAATTTATTACCTTTGTTTTAACCAGAACAATTATATGGTTTTGTGCAAAGATCTTCCAGTTGTTTGTAAAATATATAATTTTGCGCTATTCTGTTGATATATTTGTTCTAAATTTATTAATCTATTTGCTAGAGAAACTTCCCGTAGTGGATTTATCTGATCAATTTAGTTGTTGAGAAGGTTTGAGGGATAAATTGTGAGTACTTACGATAATAAGACAATAATCAGCACTTAGTATTTGAGTTGTAGAATTTAAAAACGTGAAGAGTTTGCTTTGCAAAGTATTTATTTTACTTCAAAAGTACATCCTCATCACCAAGACTGCTCGAGAATCACTGCAATTTGGACACTTCTCGGAAGGCACATGTATTATATTTATAATGTATAGTCTTATCATCTAAGCCACTCCCTTTAGATTTTATTTATTAAGCTTCACTCAAAGTATATGCAAAAATCGACTAGCCTCAGACACGGTAAAGGTCGCTAAAGAAGGATGGCAAAAGCATGCACAAGTCTCTCACTGTTGATCTGCAATTGTTCACTGTGGTTTGAGTGGTAAAATCATTTGGCCTCTCTGATGCGTATTCATGAGGAATGGCGCATTTTTCGGCAGGTCCGCAGTCACCGCCACGTCCTGGCATCCCTTCAGCTCGGTCCTCGCCACGGTGGACCGCTCGAAGAAGTGCACAATTTGGACGGACGCCTGACTGCCGTCGCTCCACTAAGAAGACACAAACCGTCGTCGAGTCTTCGCGAATTCAATTAGAGATGCCGCGGAAAGAATAATCAAAAGAACAGTACGTACAGCATTCACCATTGTGTTCGGCAGTGGATGATTTCTGGCCAACATTTAATGCTCACTCATCTCCTTTGCAGATTTCAATCAGCGATATACTTTTCATCAATGGGAAATGAAATTGTGTTTATGTACACACAAGTGAAATGCTACATCGCGCTGCGATGTTGATATTTTTTTTACATTAACAATTATTTTTTGTCTTATAAATGTTCACTCAAAGAATCCCCCAAGCATTGTACAGTTATGTAAAGTGGATTATTAAACATTTTTACCTGTCTTTTCTCCCCCTTCCCATATTATATTATGGCTGCGCCAGTTGTCGCTTCCCTTTTTACCATTCTTATTCGCTCTCTAAATGCACATTGCCGAAATATTTCGCCGCCGCATCGCACCTTCCTTTCATGTGTCCCGCGCAACACTTCAGCATCATCACAACTTGGACAATCCCGTGTCCTCAGACGTGAAGGTAACCAGTTTTCGCACTTCATTGAATTTCGGGTGGTTCTTGTCTTTCATGAGCTTGAAGATGATACTTTCGCTGGTGGTAATGTGGCAGCCGATCTCTCTCATGCGCTGCATCGCGATCGCACGGTCCTCCAGGGAGCGGGACATGGCGCAATCGGCCGCGATGTTCACTTGATAGCCCATCTGGAAGATGTGGAAGAAGAGGGAATGCTGAATATGCGGAAGGTGGCCTTTGATAATTTGTTAATTGGCTGCGAAGTTAAATGAGATATTTCCCTCCCAGATATTTATCCAGGCGCACACACACCGTTTAATACTTTACGCGTAAAATATGATCAAGTGACCTCCTCATTCCGAAAAGTGGCTGAAGAGAGCAACAGATATGGAAAAGGCATGTAAATCACGAAAACCCCTCAACAAATCATATTTCATTAAAACACTTTTGATTCATTTCCCAATAAATCATTTGCATAAGTATTTCACGCGAAATAAAGTCTGCAACCTGCTTGATTTCTCGCGAATCCCCGCATCTTCACACATCGTCAAAAGGCACTCTCGAGAGCACCCTTCCGAGCACCATGAGACATAAAGAAGGCATCTTCTTTACTGTGTCGTCGCCCATTTTTTCTCCCCGACAGATTCTTGGCAGTTGAAGATGAAATGGAAAATCCTTGATCGAACTACAATTACGAGGCAATTAAGGCCAGATGTAATTGCATATCTTTTCGCCTTGTTTGAGATGAGTCTTTTGGTGACAATTACGAAAACACTGCATTTTCATAGTGATTAAGATGCCTCTTCATCTGACATTTTCCTCGCCTCGCCATATTTATGAGTATTGCATTTTGATTTATTCCCATGGACGACTTCTTCACCCAAGCCAGATATTAATAGGAGTCATTCTGCAATTTGTACTCACGTCGCACATGTCGACAGCCGTTTGCTCCAGGCAGATGTGCGATTCCAGCCCGAAGAGGACAATGGATTCCAGGCCGTCGGGGAAGAGCTCCACCACTTTCTGCCGCATTTCCGGAGTCGCCATGCTGAACAGCGTCTTTCCGTAAATTAATTTGGCATGGCTCACGTCCAGATCCTTCACAATCCGTCCCAGCTTCTCGGGATAGTGCTCAGAGACGATCAGAGGCACATCGAGATACTTGCTGGCGGCGACCTTTTGAAAGAAGAATGAAATAAATCAAGATTTTGTATCTCTCTTAATTTAAGAGCCATCCAAATACAACTGACAACGATAAGAGACTTTTAGCAAAGACACCCCCCATTCTGAGATTCAATTGTGATGAATGTGAAGTGGAATATGAATGATTATGACAGCACTTTTCTTCATGAATTTTCCTCATTACCATTTCAGATCAGAGATATTTACGATTCCCAGAGCGTTCTGTGGAAATTTGCACATTTCCCAATCAATCAATCAACGCGAAAAGTCCCTCAAAGCCAAGAATAAGCCGCCTAATCCGCACAGACTTACCAATTTCTTGCTATTGTTGACCATTTGATCGAAGAGTTTCATGCCAGGCTTGAATTTGTCCTGGATGTCACACAGCAGGAACAGGGTCTTCTTGATGTCCAGCTGTCCAAGGCGCGCCAATTGCCGGGCCATTGTTTATCTTGTCGGTGAAAAAGGTGCAAAATGAAGAAAAATATCTACGCGCAAACACGAAACCGCCAAGGTCACGAGATTTTTATGACACTTCAGCGCGTCAGGCAGACAACTGGCGCGAAGCCACGAGTGCTGCCAACTGCGGTGATTCCTCGAGAGTTGGCTAGTGACACATTCTGCCACAAGAGCAATAATAATAAAAATAGTGAGTGAATCGGAAAAAATGATGTGCTACAGTGGAAAATGAATGCTGGTGATAATGATGATGTTGTGTACATTCTCAGTGTTCTCCTGTACGTGCATATTGAACAGAAAGGAGTGAAATGTGATTCGGTGTGGCCTGGAAAGTGAAGAAATTCCTGGGCGCCGAACTCCTCCTGTCACACTCATATCAATGAATCGCAGACAGTCTTTGGATAAATCAGGTACTTTCCACCACCATCCGGATGCTGCGGCCCATCTAGTGGCCGAGGGTGAAGTCATGGGGTGGCATTTGGGGGCTCTCCGGACGCCAAAAATGCGGAATCTTCAAATTGGCACACGGAAGACAGTCGCGCGAGTCTGTCTTCACGTTTGTTTCGCCGTCTCTCTCGCTCCGTCTTCACCTGAGATGGCCCGAAAAGTGGCCGTTCGCTTGGCAGAATTGGCGAGGTTGTGCAGCATCCATCTGAATCAGCGGCCTTTCTTTCCGCGGAGAAAGCGCCATCAGCCAGCTCGGTTGCCTTCACCTTGCTCAATCGAGGCGCCTCAGTTCCTCACGAGCGTCCGGGCCACTCTTCTCGCCATTTCCGCGGACCTCTTGCCGTACTGCGGCGCCCTCCGGACACCCTGTCTGCGCTGGAAAATATCCCCGTCTCGCATTCTCTCCCCCTGCCGTTGGCTTTTCCAGCCTTTCCACCCCATTTCGCCCGTCCGGAAGCACTCGAGGCGCCCAAACATGCGCCCCCGTGCCACCGTGCGGCGCTCGCCAGCACTTTTCGCGAGCGGAAAAGTGTGACTGAGGCAGCCTTTTCTCATCATCACACCTAAAATGTCGAGAATTTACGTGTGCGGACGCAATTATGTTAAAAATTTGTGTTTTCAATGTTGTCAGCACACACAGCGATTCTCTCTCAGGTCGGCTCTCTCGCGCACTCACACGAGCGCAGGGGTGTGAAAATATGGAAAAGTGCGCGCGAGAGAGTCCAACACAGACGCAGTTGGCGTTTGAATTGTGTTTTGTCGCGCGCGCACACACGCGCGAGAAATGCTTCCTTCATTCATACATCGCAGCTGCACCAAAGCAAGAAGATCAATATAATTGCTCTCGCTCATAAAAACCCCAGCGATAAGAGTGCCTGAGCTCACGAGTGATGAGATTCATTTGCGTACAATTATTCAGGGGATGTTCTGCTCTCCTGCCGGTTACGTAAACAACCCGGCGGAATCATAATGCAGCGGAGAATCGCGGATTCTATTCCTTTTGGGGCCTTTGACAGAGAGATTTTTATTCTAAATTTACGCAAACTACGTGAGCAAGTTCGAAGGTCAGGCGATGTGTTATCAATGTGGCGAAGAAGGGGGGAATTTTCAGAGTATCGTCTTCGTTTTCAGGGTTTTTCAGTAATGCGCGTGTATTACATAATCCAGAGAGAATTGAGTCATGAGCACATGTGTGTATCAGTTTGCCGCTGATTAGACAATATGCGGTCAGAATCTGTTGCCACTTTCCAGTCTTGTAATCCTTTTCCGGGTACAATGTCGCATGGTTTTCTCCGTGTCAATCATCACACTAATGCATAAGATATAAAATCTCTCTTTGGCTTCTCATAAAATACCCTGTTTCCGATCGGATTATGATGGTTGTTGAGTTTAAGTCTTAAACAAAACTGTAGGGGCGACGACGGTGTTTTGGCCCGCGGCTGATTTAGAGCTTCTTTCATCCAAGCATTAAATTAAGCTCATCGACTTTTCCCCCCACAAATGTTTATCTGATAAAATCGAGGATAATTTGGTAAATTAATTAACCCAAATTGCTATGGAGACCTAAGCATAAAACATAATACTTGACGGACCCGTTGGAAAAACACTTCACACAAGCGTTTTCCTTTGTCCTTGACAAACAACGAAAAATATCCCTGTTGATCCCAATAGTTGTCAACTCTCGATAACGAGGCGCTGCGGAAAATATGAACATCCACACAACTACAGGAACAAAGAGCGAAGAACCCCTCTCGCAAGAGGGCGAAGATTTACATTTCACCATCTTTTAAATGACGAGCGAGGAGGAAAACTATTTCAATTTTCTAATTATCGTCAACCTCCCGGCAAACACACACGGATGGTAGGAAAATTTGCGTTGATTTTCTCTTTTGCCATTTTTTGGACACACGAAAATCCAATTATACCCAGCTTAATTCAATTAAACTTCAGTATTACATATTTTTAATTAAATGTCATTAACCCAAATTATCGCCCAATTCATCTGTCACATTATTATCGGTGTGTGTGCGTGCAAAATGGCCCGGGAAAAGTGCCGCTTGCTTTTCGGGTTTTTCGGTGTTTGGTGGCGGCTAGGAAATTGTTGCATTTTGTGTGAGTTGATTAGAGAGTGTCCTGTTTTGTAACGCGCCCAATATGTAGTTGGTACATGATAAATGGTCTCCTTGTCTCGGGCCGATATATGTTCATCGCACTCTCGCTTATCGCCATATCAATCGCCTTATTCGCGCGAAATCAACACCAGCGCACTCACGTGGGCATTTATCGAATATCGGTGGCATCGTGCGCACACAGGCGCAGCCGAGGCACGCACACACACACACGCGCACGGAGAGAGAGGCAGAATTAAAATCAGGTAGCAGCATTTTGGACGGGATAAAAGAAAAGACCATGACGATTGCTATGGTTGTCCTCTCTTTTTGCACTCTCTTGGCGACGCGCGGGTGTGTGGTTGGGCATTTGACACGCGCATATATGATTCTCGAGACTTCTTCGCCGTCCACCCGTTCACATGTCCTCCCCTTTTCATCGGCATCCGCTCTGGGGGCGCCCAGGGCGCGGAGAGGGTGTGGGAGAAGGCCTAGACGATCTCGACATTTGCGCTGCCGCTTTCTCCGTCTGTGACCATCAGAGGAGCTTATGGTGAAATGGGGAAAAATCGGCGACAGTGTGTATATAGTTAAATTGAAATGAGACAGATAATACACGTTTGTTGGTTGCTCAAAGAATAACGGGTTCTCTAATATTGAAGCGAAGAAGAACAGTTTTAATAATTCGTCGACAGTGAGACACCGAACCCGATCTCTGGTAATTTTTCTCCGACTGCCAGACTTACTTATTGCTCACCGCAATGATTTCTGAATTGAAACTTCTTAATGGGTTTGCTACATGCCGAAATGCTGCTGTGGTATTTGAGGGGGTTTTAATCTCTTGTTTGCACAAATCTTAAGACATCCTCACTTTCCCTAATAAGCGTATTAAATGCACAGCAATTTATGTTCTGGAAATCACTACTAAAGAACGATGTGCAGGTATTTTTGGGACTCTGCAAGAGCAATTATGCTCTTCAAGAGTTTATCTAACTGAAATTCCTCTTCAGACATATCAAGCGTCTTTTTATTGTGGCCCAATTTTAAGTTAAATTACCTATTGTGAGTCGGAAAGCACACTAGGTATAGAGAGACAAACTGTAAGATGCCGTTTTTTTCTTTGTATTTCTGCACCGAAAATGAATGCAAAAGGGGGAGAAAAAAGAAAGGTTATTTATTTTTTTAATTCTGTTGTTTACTCTATAGAAAATAAACAACAGATTAATATTGTGTAGACACAATATTTATTTGCTCACCGATGACGACTATATTACATGATTGTATTCATTCATTAGAATAATGCCAAATACGCTGTGGGTTGTGCCAAAAGTGCCAAGTGCTATTCTAGAATTAATTCCTCACCACTCGAGACAGTATATAAAGTTTTAATCTGTGAACTTGTCTGTGAATGAAGGAAAGAGACAATTAATGTGAAGCTATAGTTATGCAAATTGAAAGAAAATATGAATCCGGACAAAAGAAAGAGCTTTTTTGCCTTCTTTCCGCCACTCATAATCCAATATAGGAGGGTCTTTTATTGATACCATAAACGCGAGCAATTATCACTGGTGTACAACAACATTTGTTGGGATGTCGCTTAGCGTGTTGACTGTGTGGGCAAAAAATGACGAAAATCACGGCATAAATTTGAAATTTATTTCTGTCCCGAGAGGCAGAGAAATGTGAGTGCGAGAGAGAGTCAGTGTGTAATTTTTGGCAATTAAATTATGCCATTGTGAATTGAAGGTGTCGCGCAAGTGGTTGGTCTATCGTCTTCTAAGCGCTCTCTCACTCTCTCGCTCGTGCTCTCTCTCGCAATCTTCGCTCTCCAAATATTGTATTTCTCTCAACACACTCTCAAATATGGCATCTCAAGTTTTCTTCATCGCCCGTTCTCGCTCGCTCTCGGGCATTTGGCATCTTCTGTCGGAGAACGTGAGCGACTGAACACAACACGCACACAACACTGCGGATTTTCGCGTACGAGAGGCCACACACTCGCTCACGAGGCATCGCAGAGAGAGAGAGAGAGTTTGGACCTAAGGTGGCCTGAGAGAGTGAGAAAGTATGGCATGAAGCAGAATGAAGAGCATCAAAATACCGTGTATAGAATTGAGCATAAATTCGATGAGAAGCAAAATATGTAGATATACCGTGCGATTGTTCCTGGGAATGAAATGGAAACAGTGGAAATGGGTCTGCTTCTTGGGTGTGCGCGAGTGAGAGGGGAAGAATGACTGACGGGAGGAGAGAGAGAGCGAGATTTTGTTGGGAGATTCATAAAAGAGCGTAATAAAGTGTGTGTGATTGACTACAAATGTCGATTTCTTCAATATTTATTGAAAATTTGTGTTTATTATCGCATTAAATTCGCATTTGTGATCAATTGGCGGGCGTACTTATCGTGTAGTAAGTGGTAATGTGTGAAATACATGGGTAGTGAGGGCCATTGAGGCGACAATTGATTGGCTGGAGTGTTTGACAATATCGCCACTTTTGTTTTGTGTATTATCGCTCTTTGACGGGGAGACAAGAGAATACGCCACCGAGAGAGGTGGAGAGGAGAAAAAAAAGGTGTAAGACTCTGCCTCTGGACACTTTGGCCCCTTTTTGCTCGTCGTGCAAATGACGAAAAGGCCACTTTTCGCGAGATATCGGGCGTCTATTTGATTTTTTGGCCACACGATGGGCACGAAATTTGCTCTTACAAGAGTGCTCGGATCGGATTGAGCGAAGAGATTGTGCGGTGGGTAAAGAAAGGCGAAGAACAAGAGAAATCTCGACAAGGGAGGGTGAGCTTGTGCCAGGAGTCGAATGTAGACTTGGTGATTGAGAGAGTGTCTGACTCTTGAATGCTAATCGGTAAATAATAGCTTGAACTTGAGGTATTGCATTGCTTGTGCCAATGAATTTTCCTTACTGCACACCCGAATTGCTCACGCAACGCCACTTCTCGGAGCCTCCCGGAATGGCGTTGATGAGTGGCGGAGGAGAGATCTGAGAAGAGAGGAATTGACGGTGTGTTTTCTCTTGCAGGAATTCTGTCTCCGCCTGGTTCATTTGTAGCGCCCAGCCCATCCCCATCGGTTCCGGCCAGTCCGAGGCTGCAGCCATCGCCGTCGCAGTCGCCCTTCGCCCAGGATGTGCTGCTGGTGACTAACAACACGGTGGTGACTCAGGAGCCAGATCACAAGACAACGATCCCAACGAGGCGGCCGTCCTTCCATCAGGTGGCAAACAGCCCAAATGCCGGCACGGTGCTCTTTCGGCCGAGTCCCACGCAATCGCCGGCGGGGGCGAGTACGTTCATCACGGGCGCGAGCACCGAGCTCAATGCCACCCTCGTGGGATCCAACAACATCGCTCTGAATAAGGTGGAAAAGGTGCTGTGATTGAGGGTGGAATTGGTTGACTGACGTGTATCTTTTGCAGAAGCTCGGGAAGAAGACACCCCAGCCTCATGGCGGCCATGGAATGCCCACGACGGCCAGCAGCCCCAAGGCGTCCAAAAAAGCCATGTCGTTGACAAACAGTCCCATAACCAGCCCGAGTCCCATCGCGAGTCCCACGTCAAACACGGCTCTGCGTCCACCGACGCCACAGCCAATTATTCAGCAGGTGAGCTTGACTCTTTCCATCTCATAGCCTCTCAAGAAAGCAGATTACGCAATGTTCGTCTCAAGTCAAAGGATATTTTCCCCTAGTATTTTGCATTGATACTCTGCAATCGTCTGTAAACGGTGTGGATTAAATGAACACAAACGTTTCAAATTGCAATGTTTGCAAGGATATGTGTACGCAAAGTTTTCGTAAATATTATGATAGATAAAGCGAAACCATTTGAATGCGGAATATTGTTCCCTTTCAATGCAATTGTCAGAGCAAAAGGCTCAGTACACGTGTCCAGTTCTTAGAATGGAATTAGAGCACTGAAATTCAATAGGACATTACTATTGCTCAATGTATTTTCACGGTCAAGTTAAAGCATTGGAAGGGAAACAATAGGATTATAACGATTAATTAGCATTGTATCAATTATATCCTTTCACATTTATGTCTCTGTATTGCATTAATGAGCAAATCAAACGGGTCAGATGTCCATAAGATGAATTTGTGTAACTGAAATGGGGTCATTGGCACCTTCCGGCAATGGCACTGCCGCAGGACAATGTTTAATAAAATATTTCAAGGGCATTCGAATATGACATTGCTGAATTCACTGAACTAATCAATGCATCATTCTCTATCTCGTGACAGATTCCGGTGATGAGCAGCGGCAATCAGTTGTTGCAGATCATCCAGGGACCCCAAATAATAGCGCCTCAGCGACAGGCTCACATCATCACGTCGGCACAGGCTATCGCGCCGCAGCAGGCCCAGCAGCCGGGCCAGTTTGTGAGTCAGCAGCACATCAAGAACAACAAGGCGCCACAGCAGATCCTGCCAAAGCCCACGACCACAGTTCTCCAGGTGACTGGGAAGAACACGACGACTGTGGCAAAGGGTGCGCTGCAAATTGGGCAGCAGTCGCACCAGGCGCCGTCGCAGGCTCAGCTTCAGACGCAGCTCGTACAGTCGCAGGCGCCCCAGGTTGTCCAGCAGGCGCAACAACCCGCCCCACCGCATCAAGTGATCTCGGCGGCTGCTCAGACAACGGCCACTGCCAATGCCACGCAGGGCAACATCATCCTGCCTACGGGGAGTCTCAACACCCAGCCGCTGCTTGTGAATCAGATGCCGGTGATTGTGCAGCAGAACACGCCCCAGGGTGTGCAGTTCATCCTGCGTCCGTCAGCGCCGCAGATAACGGCACCTGGGCTCGTGATTCACAACACCAGACCTCAACTGCCGCCTCCACAGCCGCAGCAATTGCTCCGGATTGTCAATGCCAATGGATCCATGCAGCTGGCGGCCGCCACGCCGACATTCATCGTGTCGTCGCAGGCGAATCTGATTCAGCAGAATCTGCAGGGAATCAAGGCGAACACGGCCACGCCACTGACGCAGATTAGTGGTCTGCAGGCTCAGCGGCAGCCGCAGCAAATCGCGGCGGCAATTAATCAACACCTGATCGGGCAGAGTGTGGCCCAGATCCAGAATCTGCAGCTGAACGGCAATCTCACGCACATCCAGATGCCAAATGGACTCAATGGGCAGTTCATTTCGCAGTTGCCGTCGCAGTTTCAGCAGAGTCTTACCGGTTTCAATCAGCTCAATCAGAACATAAGTTTGAATCAAATTAGTAGTACGAACTTGTCTCAGATCGCTGCCGCGGCGGCTGCATCGCAGAACATGGCCACATTTCAGTCTCCACCGCCGCCACAACAGCCTCACGGTGGGGATTTGGTCGTGTCGCAGATGCAGTTCACGACGCAGCAGCAGAACACAATCACGGTGTCGCAGGCACAGCAACTGGCGCAGCAGCAAATACCACCGATCCCAATATCGCCCATCATGTCGCCACAGAATCCGACCATTCTTCAGTCCGTCACGCCAGAGCCCGTGAGGAATCCGACTCCTGTGAAGCACACGAGTCAGGGGAATACTCCGCAGCTGCTGCTGGACAAGGGCGAAATCAAGTGTGAAAATGCACAGGGGAAGAGTGAAAATGCATCCGCCAAGCTAGTTTCCATGCCTCCGAGTAAGCCGAAGAAGGCGAAGAAGTCCAAGAAGAAGAGCTCGTCCAGCTCAGACTCGGGAGCAATAATGAGCACGGGAAAGTTGGACTTGGCGAATGTTATGAAGTTGTGCGGCATCATGGATGACGATGATCTGATGGATGGTGAGATGGAGATGCCCATGATGACGGATTCGCTGGAGGTGAAGGACACGTCGCCGCTGAGCCAACAAGAACCCAGTGTAGCGTCCAGTGCGGGGGATATAATGATAACAATACCCTTTTCGGGTCAAAACACAGACATTCCATTCAGTTTTACAATTCCAAATAGCGTAGAGAATAGCGATGTGCAGCAAACGAAGAGCACGGCGATCGCCAAGGTAGCGCCAGAGGTGAAGAGTGATCCTGTGGGTGGGATTCAGACTGTGCAAACTAGTTCAGCGCCTGGCAGTGGAACACCCTTCATGATCACAATTGACTCAACTGAGGGCAACATGGGACAGCCCTACACCATCTCAATTCCTCACATTCCATCCGATAGTGGTGAAAAGAGTGGCGTAATTGTGTCTGGCTCTGCGATGGCGAACGACGCCGGCAACTCTGTTGGGATCTCTCTGCCGCAGACGTCAATGTGTGTCCCCACATTTGTAAATACTGTGCTCAGCAGTACTGTCACGCCGACACTTCAGAGCCAAATCAATGAGATTCAGAATCAACTGATGGGCGTTGTGACGCCAACAACGAGCGCACCATCGACTATCGTGACTTCGAGTATAACCAGTGTGACCAACACGTCGACGGTTGTTACGAAATCCACCCCAACAACACCGACATCCTCCACCGCGACCACACCGACTGGGATTGTGCTGAAGAAGAAGAGTGCCAAGAAGAGCAGCAAGAAGCTGGAGAAGGCGGTGAAGAATCTCGTTGGGGTGGTTCCAGGCCAAATAGGAAATATTCAGATATCACAAGTGGATGGATCGAAAACGTCGCCGGTATCGTCGAAGAATGTAATTGATAATCAAATTCAAATAACCCCAATCATGGAGACAACGAAGGCATCACTGCAGCAGCACATAACTTCTGTGGCACCTCAGCAGCAACTCCTGGTCACAGCCAGTCAGCAAGTTGTTGGAATGCCAAATATTGTGACGACAGTGAGTTCTGGCGGGGCATCGAATGTTGTTCAACAACCGCAAATACTTCAACATCAAATAGCAACGGCGCCACCCATTCAATCGGTTGCGACGCCCGGTGTGGTTAATTTGCAGCCAAATATTGTTCAGCCGAATGTGCAAATCAATCTGCCCAACAATTTGCAGCCACAGATTGCGACGCAACCCATTATGCCACAACTCACGGGCGCTCTGAGTCTCTCTCTGGCGGAAGATGGTCGACTGTTGCTTCGTCACGATGCTAATGCACCACAAGATGCTCAGTCTCAAGTGATTCTCCAGACTATCCTCAGTGGCGCTTTGGGCAATGTGACACTGATCACAGAACCACCAACTGTGGAGAAACAACAGCCGCAACCTGTTCAGCAGCAGCCACAGCAATCACCGGCTCAGCCTCAACCGAAGATCTTTGCAAACAATATCATTGCGCCACAGAAGACCTTGTCAGCGCCAAACATTGTCACTACGCCACAGGGAAAGAGCATTGTGATCCCAGCGGCGAGTCCACAGACGAGTACAGCTCAATTCATCCCACAATCAACAGCCTCAGTGGCGACAACAATCACGGGAAGCCCACAGATTTCCAGTAACATTCTCGGGACATCACAGGGTCAGATATTGCATCAACAATCGCCTGTGGTGACACAGAATGCAATATTTCCCACGTCTGTGAGTCAGCAGCCTCAGAATGTTCAGGCGTCAACGGCGCCAACTGTGATCCAGCCAATGGAGACGCAGACGCTGAAGAATGTGCGGAAGATCCAGACTTCGAGTCAGTTGCAGACATCAACGGCGACCATTTCACCACAACCCACGACAGTTTTGATGAACGCCAACTTGCCGAAGTTCGTGGAATTGCCAAAGATCGGACCGAATCAACAGTTGTTCTCGCTCAACACCATCACCAATCAGATAACCCAGATAAATCCGGGATTGACGACAGCTTCGCTGGGTCCGATGGAGAGACTGTTGATTGTCCCGGCGGGAATCAATGCTCAGCAACTGGCGCAGTGTTTGCTGCAGGGACAGATTCACTTCAACAATATCGGACAGGTGAACCAGGCGCAAGAGCGCAGTGAGCAGAGCCAGACAAATCAGGGGCATCCGGTCAGCGGTCAGAAACCTGTGGCTATCGTGGGTCAATCAGCTGGTGGCAATTTGCAGGCCGTGGGAAATGCCGCAACGCCCGTGAGCAACCATCAGACTTTGCACCTGCATCAGTCGCTCCAGCCGGGCAAAGATCAGGTGAAAGTGTCAGGTGTGGTGAAGATCAGTGAGAATAAGTTAAAGAAGGCGAGTAAAGTGAAGAAGCTAAAGCCACTGAGTGAGGCCAAAGTGATAAAGATGGCACCGGGCAAGAGTGTTGTTGTGCTGGAGAATCGAACGCTGCAGAAGTGCAATCACTTCAATGATGGCTCAACGAAGTCGCAGGGACGCATTCTACTGCATCCCTCCACGCCAAATGCCGTGGTGACGACAACGAGTCCCTTGACCACGAGTCTGGGAAGTGCCAATGTTCAGATGAACACAACTGCGAGCTGCTCCTTGCCGACAACATCTGTCCACGTGCCAAATACCGCCATAGTGCGTCCGAGCATAATCTCGAATAATGCCAGACACCATGCGTCCTCAACAAACACCCACTCTCATCCCATAATCACGCCGACCATCAATCAACAACCAGTGCAGCCAGTGATTCCGTCACCCAGTCAAGATCAGCATTCCCATCATCAGACCATTCTGCACCCGAAGGTTCCCTTGCAATCTCTGTCGCAGACGAACAGCAAATCAATAGCAACACCTAGCGGGCAACTTCCGCCACTGGTGAGTGTCAACACGACTCTGCCACGCGTGCAGACAATCCAGTTGACGCCGCAGAAGCAGCAAATGCTGAAGGATGTGCAAATGAAGATTCAGACACTGTCGGGCAAGCTGCAGAACAAGACACTCTTGTCCACACTCACCATCCCCATTGACTATGATGCCTCGAATTCGCTGCACAATCAACCATTGCCAACACTCACGAATCTCCACACGATGAGCGACGCCGAAATCCACTCAGCGCTCCAGCGTTTATTCCTGGAGCAGCAAAAGATTCTGGCAACGGGCAAAATTATTCCCACCATCCCGACATCACACTCTTTTCCCAGCATGCCTCAACCAGTGCCCACGACACAGATTCAAGTGGCTGTTGCTCTGCCCAAGCAATCAACTTCCGGCGCTTTCCTGCCTTCGCACATTGAGCTCACGCCTTCGCTGTCCATCAAGCAGGACGTCATACCGTCGCCCTCAATTGCATCCATCAACGCAACAGTGTCTGTAGCACCCGCAAGCAATATCCTGACGATGACTTCCAGCAAGGCCACCCTTGGAGCGTCAGCCAATCAACAGTTGAACGCCCATCAGGAGGGTGTCAGTGTGCCACAGATGAGCCCGAAAATGAAGATTCCCAGACAATGTTTGTGAGTATAGTAGAGTAGATGTAGGACGAAAATACTTTGTTGCTTTCTTAGAATCCTCGAAGAGATTTTTTCAAGAAGAAAAAATTTGTATTTTTAGAGCAGTTTTTCCACCTGTGTGTGCTATGTTAAACCATATGATTTGACTTTAAATGACCCAGAAAAGTGACACAATGCTATTTTTACGCAGATTCGAGAGACAATTGGCGGTGGATCAGGAGGGTTGTACGAATCCGGATACAAAAACGCCATTTAACAACAAAGAGGATGCCATAAAGCGTTTAATACGGTAATTTGGGATTTAATATTTGTTTTGACTGAAAGTAACCCTCAACAATGGCCTATTTGCAAACAGGTACCATTGCACATATGGCGATGGTGAGAGTGAGGAGGACGTGGCGAGTGATGTGGAGGCGTTCGAGAGGACAGCAAATGGTTTTCAAGATCAATTCAATGGCATGATTAATAAGTATCAGCTTCTCCTCATGAAAGAGTCAATGGTGAGATGAATGATTTGGTGTATTTCATTGAGAGATTTTTTCACTTACACACGCGTATGTTGTGTTATTTTTTATGTCTTTTCAGCATCATGTGCAAACGTCGGAATTGATGATGATTGATCGGCTTCTGCTGTCGGACATACAGAAGGATATACTGGACATGCAGATGAATATATCAAATGACCTGAATGCACCGGCATCGGTGAAGTCATCTGATGAAGGTGAAATGGTGCCGTATAATGTGGAAGTGAAGAGTGAAGTGAAGAAGGAAATTGTGATCCCAGCGACGAGGAGTACTCCTGATGTATCTGCAGCTGTTCTGCCCGCTTCGGTGACTCAGAATCAACCGCTGTGCAAACAAGCCACGTCAATCCCGAGTGATGTGAAGCATGTGTCTGTTGTTCACTATGGATATGGTGCTGCTGCAAGTGGTGCAAATCAGTTGAATGTGAAGAATTCCAGTGAAATGAAGAAGGAGCTTGAGCAATTTGACATTGAATCTGAGATAACACCGAGTTTTATCATGAAGAAGTGCGAAAGTGCTAATCCAAGAACGAACACAGATCTCGAGGAGGAGAGTTATCATTTCGGTTTGGAGTACTACAATCAACAGGATTCCAAGGAGCCACCAGTGGCGGATGAGGACTCAAAACCCGAGCCGTACGATGAGTGGTTGTGCATACAGAAGGAGTTGGGCTACATCAGCGAGAGCAACAAGAGGAGTGAGATGAAATTGAGTGAGATGTCGCCTAGTGAATCTTCGCTGGACCACAACAAGTCCGTGGAGAAGCAATTGTCCGAGATATTTGATCATCACAGTCCGAAGAGTGTGGAGCATCAGCTGAATGATCTCTTCAATCCACCCTCGACGTCCGCGAAGAGCAACACGGAGAGCATAGTAACGTCGAATTCACCTCTATCGGAGTTCTTCAGTGCAGACTCAATTGTGGGCAATGCGCACTCGGATAAATCCGTGGAGACTCGCTTGGAGGCGATGTTTGGCGAGGCGCCGGAAGATGACAAGACGGATCTCGTGGAGACACGTCTGGAGGCACTCTTCCAAGGGGCCACGCACGATGCTTCAGCTTCTTTTGCGAACAATCTCCATCAGGGATTGATGCAGTCAAACATGAGCAAGCGTCAGTGGAACAACAACGGTGAGATACTAATCTCACCCACAAGTGGCAATGATTCTGGGGAGAATGTCATCTTCTCCAAGAGATCCTACATGGGAGGAGCGACTGAGAACTTTGTGGATGCCACAGGACACATGGGTAACAACAATCGCTGGATAAATGAGTATCCCAATGCGCACGCCATGGAGCACCAGCCGCAGAGTCAGCAGTATGACTTCATAGGCGACACGATGGACTGTGTTTTGGCAGATGCGACGCAACATCATGGCGATGGGTCGGAGATGAACAAGCGCTTGTGGAATGGTGATCTGTTGGCGCACAACGAGGTTGTGCCTGCGAAGAAGATGTGCTTCATCAGCAAGGATATGTTGGAGAGGGACTTTCTCGACATGGGATCAACTGCGACGCAGCATCAGGTGTCAGAGCTGAGTATGCAGCAGCAGATGAATCACACGGGCTTTGGGGCCATGAACACGATGCAGCTGAGCGGCGGAAGCTTGAGTGGGCAGAACAACAGCTTGAATGCTGCGACAAACTTCGATGAGGACATCAGTCGACAGGTGCAGAATGCCATTGACAGTATCTTGAACCTGCAGAGTTCCGAGGCGGATTCCTTCCACTTCTCACTGGATCAGATGGGATCATTTCTCGCTGATCCCACACTTACGCCCATGATCTCGAATCTTCAACCGACAACGAGCCAAACGTCCACGGCCAGGCCGCCGTCGGTGGCGAAGAGGAAACAACTGCCGGCACCGCATCTCAATCACACCAGCCAAATGCAGCGCCTGGAGGAGATCAATGACTGCTTAATGCACGCTGGCAGCGAGAATCCCAGCCATCACGTGATAATCGACTCCTCGCCGTCAGGCTCCTCGTCGTCATCCAGTGGGACTGTGGTGAGTCACGACTTCAATTCTGTAGGCGCTGCTCATGATTCTGTTAATTCGACTGGTCTTGATGACACAGTCAAGTCCATTATAACTTCCTGACAACTTTCCATAGAGTTCACAACGGCCGCTCTCTAGGGCGCAAAAGTATTGCAAAACGTTCCCATTCGATTGATTGACTCAGAGTCAATAATTATTGCTGATGACAGTGCGTTTTATTTGCCTCCAGAAAGTCCACTGAGAGATTGAATTGTGATTGGAGAAATTCTTCTAAAGTCAATCTTCTGCAATCACAATTCAACTGATTGTGAAATTTTTGGTGGAAAAAAACAGTGTTTTTGTCCAGAATTTGATTCTTTTTATTGCACATTTTTCATAAGGAATGTTAATGCAAAGAATTTTGTACATTTGTGAGCAATAACAAAAAAGAAATGTAATTGTTTGTCTTGTTGTACATTTTCACCATGAAATCATTGTTGATTTTGTGACAATCACTTGAGAAAAGTTGAATTGCATCTATAGAAAGAGAGAAAAATTGATTCTTCTTTTTTAATGGATTGGTGTGTGACAAGGCAATTTGATCAATACTGAAGAAGTTGACTTTAACGTGCATTAAATTGAAGAAAAAAATACACACAAGTACCAAATATATTTATGCATAGAAAAACTGTATCAGATGGAAAACTGAAAAAGGTATTCAACGCACACAAGTGTGTACCAAAACTATGACACTATCATAAACTAATTGTGATTTGCTAATCATGTACTAGAAGAGAAGAAGATAAAGGCTGCAGAATCTTGTATAGCTCAAATTTTTGGGATGAGAAAGCCGCCGCGTTTGAGGGCGATGGGAAATTTGTGTGGAGAAAATGCGGATTGGATGATGAAAATCTACTTCATGATTCATGATGCGTACAGTTGGCGGAGAGGAATAAATCAATTCATCAGTGGAATGGGACAATTTGTATATTGTAGATTGACACAAGTCCGCAATCGATAGAGTTCGGTTGGTTGAAAATTGTATTGCATAAATTAGTACTGAATTTTAAGATTGGACGGAAAGTAAATATTAGGTGTGAGTTGAGAAAACCCAGTTATCGAGCGGGAGAAAAGGAGAGGAAGAGAGAGAAATTACCAATTACTGGTATTCATACCTAAACTTCTACTACAGTACATTAATAATGAATGTATTAATATTTTATCAAGTATGAAAAGAATCAATGAGTCTATATACATGTAGCTAAATTATTATACATATAAATAAAGTAATTTTTAGGTAAAGAAAGAATATATATAATAATTGTATATGTAAGAAATTAACTTATAGTGGTATTTGTAATAAAATGAAGAAGTTTGTATATATATTGCAAGATTTGGACTATGGATGATGACAATGAGGCGGAAAATGGTTCTAGCGTAATTTGATTTTTGTCTCCCGTTCTCTAAATCAATCCGGCATCACTTACGGTAACCTCTTTTTTTGTATGTAATTATTTTAGAAGAAAGAAGAAAACGAAAGAAATTGTTTTTATTTTATGTATCACGGTGGATGGTAGCTATTTAAATGTATCATTTTTTTTAGGTGTGAAAACGAAAGAGACGCAACAAATTTAATTATTTATTTTCATATTATTAAGGATTAGTTTTATGCAAATTGGAGGATGGCATGAAAATTCATGGCGTGTAAGAAAATTCACACAGTTAATATTTCAATCAATGTGGCTGTAGCAAAACATGGACATGGAAGATTGTGTTTCTTTGAAGATACTTCTTTTCTTTGGTTTATCTTTTCGTTGTTTCCCCAAAAAAAAACAGAAAAAAAATCTCATTTTGACGATGATAATAGAGAATTCCCTGCAATTCTGTGCCAAATATCGACAAGAAAAGAATATTTAGAGAGAGAAAAGATAGAGTGAGAGTGGAACAGACAGAAAAATATCACAGTGCCCAAAGTAACGCCAAGAGTGAAAAGGGTAAAACACTTAACAATAAAATATATTAAAAAGAAAAAAAACATGTTAAATAAACTAACTGAATAACATAAGAACCATATCCATGACTGTGTACTCATTGAATAAGTGGAACACAAATTGATACAGCGTATTTTTTCGAGGAAATGTGAGAACTTTGAACCATTTTTGTAATATCATCCTTTTGAAATTTTAAACAAATACTCTCTTGCAACAAATGTACCTTGAATATGTTTTTTTTGCTAATATTTCGTACTTACAGTAAATATTCTGTGTTTTCACGCTACAAAATATTATATTCTGCACAGAATGGTGATAAATGAGGCACATTTAAGTTGCAGACATAAATTTTTTTTTTAATAAAATACAAGAAAACAAGGTTGTTTGGTTGTTATAATTGTAAGTGAGACAGTAATATATATATATATATTAGTTTTCTGCACACACTTTATTTAAAACATTTCAATGCATCACATGGAAACTTTCTTCCCTTCACACGGAGATTTATTTCGAGGAAAAAAAAACAAGATGATAAATATGGAGATAATATGTAATTGTGTACATATTGTATTTGGAGAAAAAAAGGAATATTTCAATTAATTAGACAAGATTATTGTGTTCTTTAGTTTGTAAACATTACTTATAAGTGATAGAATAAATTATTGCAAAGAGGGCATGGAAAAAAGAGGAAAATATCTCGATTGTGAAGGAGATGCTCACACAAAAAAGGAATGAAAATAATAATGTATAGAAGATCCACTATTTAAGCTATAAGTTTGACCAGGAAGAAAAAATTGTTGAGTACGCAGTAAATATTTGGGATTAATTGAGTGGCATTAAGTAAATTGTTGGTACTATAAAAAGAAAATCCGAGTAATAAAATGTATCATTTTTGTTGAAAAAAGAAAAAAAATTGAAAACCCCCTTTTTCATTTTGCAATTTCAAATAATTTTCCCCCTTTTCGCACTAAAAAAAAGAAGAGTAAATAATTATTAAATGAGAAAAAAAAACTTGAAAAGAATAAAAAGATTGATGTCTAGTAATTGAGAATTGAGAATAAGGAGAGCAACACGTCTAAATTACACAGAGTAAATTAAATTATTAAAAAAATGAATATTTCAATAAAATAATTCTCCGTAAAAAGGCAAAAAGAAAACACGAAAATAGATCGACAACATGTTACGTTTAAGACTGAAACGGTTCTGTAAATAATGAAAAAATATTATTAACTAATAAAAGGTAAAAGAATAATTGTTACAAAAATTGCCCATCGGTTTAGGAGAGCAGGACATCCTTAAAGAAAAAGTGAGAGAAAAGTGTTTTTACACAATGAAACCGTCAGCACTTAATTTCACACAAGAATAATTATATAATTTTAATGCAAGACAAAACAATAAGCATTGATAATATGAGAGACTCTCATATTGTGACTTTTCTATTCATTGCAAATTTTTGTTTGCGTTTCTGTGAGTAAAAAATAACATATATTTTGAGAGCAAACTGAAAGAGAGAACGTAAAATGAAGCCTCAAATGAAAGATTTTGATGTGTAATTCACCTTGTAAAAATAAAGTGACTTTTATTCAAATGAAAACAATCGTCTTTATCTTGGAAATCATCCTTAACACCTGTTTGAGCGCATATATTTGTGTCTCACTGTAGATTTCGGTCGAAGTGTTCGTTATTTTGAACTCGCGTGTGCGGCAAACTTCATGTGATTGAGAAAGTGAGGTTATGTGATTGTTGTGATTTGGTGAGTTTCTCACGTGGATTATCTTTAATTATCACTCACAATCGATGCAAAATACGCATGAAATCATGTCGTTTGAGTTCAATTATGTACCAAAGAAGAGAAAGCCGGTGGAGGAAATTGCAGAAACCTCAAGGAAACGTGTGAAAACGAAGAAAGAAACCACTGAGGAAGCGCCAAAGGAAGCCATACGTTCTGCCGCAAAGAAGAAGTAAATAAATCATTTCAAGTTTCGAATTACGCTTTCTCAAGCTTCTTATTTTGCTCTTTCAGGCTGGTTCGAAACCCATTTGCCACTGTGCGTCGCCCTGCTGCTGCTGACAATGCAGAACTTCAAGCGGTCTGGACGATTCCGGAGCTTCTGGCTGAATTCGAGAACATCTCACCGACCGTTGCTGAGAACATTGTTCAGCTTTTCGAGCAGGACAACACGATTCCCTTCATCTGTCGCTACCGGAGACATTTGGTGGATAATCTGGAGCCTGACAAGTTGCGTGAGATCAAGTCGTCCATTTATAAGATCAATCAGCTGAGGACCAGAGTGACTTTGATGGGGAAAACGCTGGAGAAGGAGAAATTGCTGACCAGTGATTTGCGGGAGACAATTAGCAAGGTGAAGACCATGGAGGAGCTGAACCACATCTATGAGTACTACAAGCCCGCCAGGAAGAAGTCTCTGGTGGAGAAGGCGACGAATTTGGGGCTTTTGCCGGTGGCAAATATGCTTCTGTCCGGAGATACGTTGGTCAATTTCGCCAATTATGTCGACCCTTCCGAGAGCGCTCTGAGTTCAGTGGCTGAAGTTAAGGCTGGCGTGGCGATTCTCATCTCGAGCATAATCATGAAGAATGCCAAATTGCTGGACTTCATTCGGGAGAAGAGAAAGACTTCGAAGATTGAATTGCAATCAAGTCAAGCCAAAGCGAAAGCTTCTGATGGTCAAAACTCAGCAGATCCCACAAAATACGAGCTGTACTTCAACTTTAAAACGCTTGTGTCTCACATTCGTCCACATCAAGTTCTGGCCATTAATCGTGGCGAGAAGAACAAGATCTTGAGTGTGAAGATCAACATTCCGAGTGAGATGCAGATTAGTCTTGTCAGATTCATCTTTGGACTGTATCGTGGACAGCTGGAGTACAGAGAGAGGACTGAATATCTACAGAAAATCATCAATGATATGTACACGAAGAAGAGTAAGTAATTTTTGTATAATTTCTCAGTCGCAGAAGTTCATTTATATCTCTTCTCTTCAGTTGTTCCTCTGGTCACTAAGGAAGTTCGCCAGGAGTTGAATGACATGGCTGAGAAGGCATCAATTGAGGTGTTCGCCAACAATCTTCGACAGCTTCTGCTCATGTGTCCCGTGAAGGGTGAGAGAATTTTGGGAATTGATCCGGGTTTTTCTCACGGCTGCAAACTTGCCATGATTTCTGAGCAAGGCACTGTCTTGGAAACCGCTGTAATCTATCCGCACACCAAGAAGGATGTCAGCACGGATGCTGTCAGTATTCTCCATCAAATGTTGACCAGACACAAGTGTCGTATCGTCGCTCTGGGCAATGGAACGGCTTGTCGGGAGACAGAATCACTGCTGATGGATGTGAAGATGCGCACACGGCTGGATCTCACGTACTGCATCACGAGTGAACAGGGTGCTTCTGTGTACTCTTGCAGTGAGATTGCGAAGAAGGAGTTTCCGGATCTCGATGTGAATCTCATCAGTGCCGTGTCAATTGCGCGCCGACTGAACAATCCCTTGGCGGAGTTTGTCAAGGTGGAGCCCAAGCACTTGGGCGTTGGCATGTATCAGCACGATGTGAATGAGAAGCTCCTGGCGGAGTCTCTGCAGGAGATCATGATGGAGTGCGTGAGTTTTGTGGGCGTGGACATCAACACGGCCAGTGAATTGCTTCTGCAATCGGTGGCGGGATTGACGCCAGCGCGGGCAAAAAACATCATTGAGTATCGCCAGAAGAATGGCTCTTTTGGCTCCAGAGAGGAGCTGAAGAAGGTGAAGCTGATCGGGGAGAAGACCTTCACGCAGTGCGCCGGATTCGTGAGGGTGGAGACGAAGACGGCGGGAAAGGTTGTTGATCCGCTGGACGGAACTTGGGTGCATCCGGAAAGCTACCACATTGCTCGAGCCATTATCAAGATTGTGTCGCTGGAGACGAAGGACATTGGGAGGTTTCACTTCATCCAGAAAGTGAAGGTGTTCTCCGAGGACACAGAGACGATTCGGCGCCTGGCCGAAGGCATGTCGAGCTCCGTTGAGTGCATAATGACTGTGTGTGAAGCACTGCAACGGATGCCATCGCAGGATTACCGGGATGATCTCAACAAGAGGCCTCACTTCAAGAAAGGACTGACGAAGATCAGTGATCTCAAGCCTGAAACCATTGCCACGGGAAGTATCACGAATGTCACGCATTTTGGCTGCTTCGTGGATTTGGGTGTGGAGAAGAATGGACTGATTCACACGAAAAACCTCCGAGGATTGAAGCCAGGAATCGGAGATAGCGTGGAAGTGACAATTGTGTCTGTGGACGAGACGCAGGGAAGGATTCAACTTCGACTGGAGAAGATTCTCTAATCTCACATTGCTTTATTAGTCAATCACGAGTGCGGATTCAGTGCTTCTTGAGAATGGTGGAGATGCACTGAGAGAAGTCCTGCGAGAGAACCGGCTGAGCGTCGCAAAGATTCCTCAGTCTTGTCTCGAGGCTGGGCACAAACTCAAATTGGAAGCGATTGTGTGCCTCGGTAATTACAGGATTGAATTCATCGATGAAGTAATCATAGCGCCGCACAATGTCGAAGTCAACAAGCTTTCGCACAACACTCGTCTGCAAGTTGGTGATGTAATCGTGCCAGTCCTCCAGTCCCTCGAACACATCGTTCTGCAGGTGCAGAAGGCGAGTGGCAATATCTTCTGTGCACGATCTGATTGTCTCTCCGATTTCTGGCGTACTCTTGGGCTGCACCAGCATCCTGAGTGCCGCCGAGGCGCCTCCGTTCTGTCGCCGCCAAGTATCCATCACTCCAGTGAATATTCCTAGGATTTCACCACTGATGTCCGTCATGTAGCGCGACATGTGACCGCGCACTTCCGTCTTCATGTCCTCGTAGTAATTATGGTAGCTGTTGATGGCGTCTTGACTGTGAAACAACGGATTTGGCGGCACTTGGGCATCACTTGGGACCACAAAATTGCCCACAAACAGTAGAGTGAGAACGAAAAATGCGATTGTGAACATCTTTTTCGCGAGACAAAACTTGCAATGGTGATTTTTGCAATTCTCAGGACTTTTTAAGCATTTCCAGTTGTGCCAAAAATATAAATATCTAATCAAAGATCACTGTCAAAAATGGAAAATGACCGATACGGAGACACCAATTTTTGCTTTTTTGATTTCTCTAATTACACTCTCTTGCGTAAATGCTAATTTTTTTTGAGACTGAGCAGGGCTGAATTGCGTTGACGAATTAAATATTCTGTTAAACAATTATTATATATGATATGACTTGTAGTACTTGCAGTAATTGAAGTATTTTCCTTGTATTCAAAATTGAACTGAGATGTTTATATATTTGGGTTTGTGGACAGTTTAACTTTATTAATTTCTTTCCGAATTACTCTTTGCACTTAAGTGATTCATATCTACTCGAAATTCTATTTTTGGATAATAAAGATATGCTTAATGGGTAATTCCTGATGGTTTATGATAGATAAAGATAAGATTTTTTGAATTACTCTTTGTTATGCGAAAAAAAGTTTAGAGAGAAAGAAGAATTGAATGAATAAATTGTATTGTAAATGTTTTGAAACACATTTTTGTGGTGTTAATGTTGGTAATCAAAAAGTTCCATAAGTCCATTAAACAGGACAAACATTGCCTCTTTCAGAGACGAGGAGCAAAAAAACTAAAGAAAATGTATGTTTTTTGCCTTTATCACGGCACTATCGAGTTGATTTTCGGACAGAAAAGACTTTGTAATTAATGGATTACAATTAGATTTATTGAAACATAAGCATAATGATCACAAGGGGGATTAGCATGACTTGAGCAGCTTCTGGAAGGCTGCGTTGACGCAGTTGCGGGTGTTATCGGGCAGAGTTGGAGTGATGCCGGCCAAACCCGTCATTTGCTCGCTGACCTGCGAGACGTAGGCGTTGAGCCTGGTGCGGTAGGCGGCGAGGATGGGATCGAAGTGGCTGTCCAGCTGCTCATAGTTGATGGCCACATTGAACTCTCTCAGCTCCGACACGACGCTGATCGAGACTTCGTTCGAGGCGTCGTTCATTTCCTCGAGAATGTCGAAGATGGCGTCCTGGAAGTTGCCGATTTCAAAGAATGCCGTCTCGGCGCATCCTCGCACGATTTCTCCCTGTGCTTCGGTGTTGAAGAGAGTCGGACACGTGGTCTCCAGGCGGCGATTCCACTGGGCGATCACAGCGATGATCTCATTGAGGGTGATCTGCGAGAGGTGCCTGATGTGATCTCCCATTGCCAAGCGTGAGGCGTGCTTGAATTCTGAAAGGCGGCAAATTAGACGAGATTCTTCGGTGATTTCCTTACAATCTTACCCTCATATTCATCGTAGACTTCGATGACTCTGTCGTGGATGCTCAGCAGGGGATTATCCTGCGCTGACACACCGGCAAAGGTGGCAATGAGTGCCAGAGAAATCACAATCAGAGCCTTCATGGTGACTACAGTTCCTCAATCACTTCCACCGTGCGAAAGAAAGACAGCGAGGAGCGCGTCGTGAAGTCTTTTAAGCGTGTCTGTTAATTGAAATCACCTCTGTTATCGTGCAGAAATCAAACGCGAGAATTGTATCGTCACAATCAAATTAGACTCTGTGTGCAGGTGTTTCATTTCCCAACCGGTGTTGCGAGGAGTAGATTTGGCGGTTGTCTTGTTGTCCAGCCGATATGATCTTCAGGGGAAGTCGTAATTAAATTCTGCGCATCTGTCCTTTGGTTGCAATGCACAAATATCCTTATTCATTAGTGAATGAGTTCAGTTACAGAAATATCGAATATAAAATATTGAATATTATTTAAGTGTTTGCGATTCTTTCGGCAGGATATTGGTCGATCATAGCAGAATAATAAAGCATGAACAAGATAATATAATTGACCAATCAAAAGCAGCCACTTTGGGTTACTCTGATTGTAGATAGCAATTAAAATTTGATAATTACCTAATAGGCCGTGAACATGACACTTCAATCTCTTTTCTTTTCTCTGGGTCTATTTATTGCCACTGATCGGAATTGAAAGCCCAGTTTGAATATTGCAAAAAAATACATTAAATTTAATTCTTATTCTCTAAATTCCCCTACTAATGATCTTCAAAAAAAATGCTGCCAAGAAGAGATGTTGAAAAGACCTGTTTCGTCCTGAATAAAATCATTCTCACATGCCAATCATGTGTTAAGGGTTCGCATTGACTTTTATCTCTGCGCGATCATCAGTGATTGGCGGAAAGTTCATTAATTTCTGCAAATGAAGGAAAGGCAAGTGAGTACTCGCCAACTTTCTGGCATTTTCAGTCTGAATATCTGTGGACAAGGCGCAAGAATGAAATTCCTGCTGTTCGCTATTGTGGGAAGTGTCCTTCTCGGGAATGTGGCCTTCGGCCAGGATCCCACCAACAATCCTCTGCAGGATGCCTTCTACGTCATCCACTCCTACCATCGCATGTACGAGGGCACCATGGACAACGTGCGCTTCTACATGGCGGACTCTTCCAAGTTGATCATCGATCAACTCGTGGAGATCACCACGGCGGAGATCGAGAGCTGGAACAGCAGGAGTGCCACGTGCGCCAACTGGACGCCCAGAAGCACCGAAGCCATCGGCGAGGCGCTCAGGCAGTGCGCCATGACGAGTGCTCAAGTCGTCTATGACATCCACAACAATGTGTATGCGGAGCTGGAGGACATGCAAGAGGAGTCTGTCGATCTGAAATTCACAGTCATCCGGAGACTGGGCAGTTTCAACATTCTGGACAATTACAATGACTTCGTGGACGACTTTGTGGACACGGTCGTGTCCCAAGCTTATCAGCGCCTGGAGAATCACTTCGTGCCGCGCCTGGAAGATGCCCTGGAGCCTCTCCTGCAGGCCGAAAACACCCTTCCGCAGCAGACTCAAAACTGCGTCAATGCGATCAGTCGCCAATTCAAAGCCCTGTGCTGATGCGGATCAATAAAGAATTAATTCGGAAACATTGAAATTATCTGTTTTATTGAAAATCCCGGAAATCCTTTTGTCTCAACGCATCCGATTATGTGCTTTCATAGAAAGTTAGAAAGGATAATTATCTGAGATCGACATCTTATCGCCATCCACAGATCCTGCAGGTGTTTCTTTATCGCAAATTGCATCACTTTCTTGTACTGTGTTGCGAATTTCACACTTATCATTTTGCAATATCTTCGCAATAATGTAATTAAAAAGTGTTTCCTCGGAGACAACTGTGAATTTCTCCCTCATTCAGTGATTTTCAGTGATATTTGAAGCACGTGGAATGAATTTTAAGATCCTCGCATCACTTCTCATCCTTGTGGGAGCTGCAGCTGCCCAAAATGATCCTTTAACGGAGATTTACAATCGAGTTTTCGCTCTGTACAACCAATTTGAGGGTATTTTGTCGGGGATCATTTGATTTCATGACCTCTTCTGAGATATTTTGTAGGATTTCAGGACACTTCTCGACTGACGATGGGAGTAATTGCCAGAGATCCCACGACTCGCGTCATAGAAGTCCTGGTGAATGAGATCGACTCCTGGCAAGCGCGTCTTCTTCGCCACTGTTCAATGCCAATGAGCACTGAAGCTGCCGGTGAAATCCTGCGATCCTGCTCTGAGGAAGCCAGCACTGTAGTGCTTCAACTGCAATCGGACGTCTTTGAAGTCCTGGAGAGCATGCGTGACGCTTCCACTGAACTCTCCACGAGCATCATGAGAGAATTGGCGGGATTCAACATTGTCCTGAACTCTGACACCTTTGTGGCTCACTTTGAACCCATAATTGCTGGCTTCCAGACGACACTGGATGACTATGTGTACCTCGTGGGACAGAAACTCAATCAATTCATCGTGACGGGAGATGCTTTGCCGCAAAACACTCAGCAATGCATCGCCGGGAGTTTCCGTAAGATTTTGGAGTCTTGCATGTGATTTGAACACACTATGAATGAAGTTCTGTAATAAAATAGGGTGTTCCATGTCCCTCAATTACTGCTAATTGAATGGATTTCCGTTCATTGAGAAGTCTCTGGACACGTGCTTGATAAAGTGCGGTGTCAATTAATAGGAAACACAGGTGACAATCTCTGCCAGATTATCAGAAATAAAAGGAACATATTCGTCGCCGAGGTCTCACGAGGCTTCAGTTGTACGTGAACAGTTGATCATCACTCGGGAAAATGCTGAAGGTGACTCTCTTGCTGTGCTTCCTCGCACTGGGCGGCGTCCTGGCCCAGGACAATCCCCTGATTGAGTGCCAGTACTTCGTACAATCGTACCATCTTATGTTCGAGGGCACCGCCGATAACGTGCGCACGCGGATCAGTGAGTACACTAAGGACCTGTCGCAGGGCCTCGTGGACGTGATGGTGGAAGAACTGCGGCGCTGGGAGCAGATGTCCAGACGCTGTGGCATCCTGTCGCAGCGCAACACCGAAGCCATCGGCGAAACTGTTCGCGCCTGTGCGCAGACAAAGGCCTATCAAGTGCTGGACTTGCAGGACAACATCTTCGTGGTGCTGGAGGACATCCACAGGCTGTCCAACGAGCTCTCCGTGATGCCCATCAAGCAGCTGCAGGACATCAACATCGTGCAGGAGTATCCCAATTTCCAGCAGCAGTGCCAGTCCTTCGCCATGGATCACTACAATGAACTGGAGGATGTGCACGTGCCGCGTCTCAGTGAGCACATCGACGCCCTCCTCAGCGCCCGCGACAATCTTCCGCAGGATCTCTCGACCTGCATCAGTGCCGCAATGGCCAAGCGCTTCCCCAACATCCATTCATGCTAGAAATTGTGCACTCGATATGATCAATAAAAGAGATTTGGTGTAAACTTTCATTCTTTTCCATTTATTAATTCCATATGATAATTTTTGATAAAATATTTTCTCGGAATTTTTCTTTCATTTTATATATCACCCTAATAAATCTTTACAGGAAAACAATTTAGAGCTGCATTGTGTGTAATATGTCTCAATATCCTCTTCTCTCCATCTACTAATGCATGGAATTGAATGGTTTATGTTATCAAACGAACTGATAGCAATTGATATAATAATATTGTAACTTTCCAAAAAAATCAAGAAATCAATTAGACACGTTAGCAGCATGTAAAAAATTAAAGATTATACAATTAAATGTTATATAACTCTTCGCCACGTCCGTAAATCACTCTTTTACAACTTGTTACAACTGTTCAAATTCACTATACAAATGACAAAAAAAAGAATTATTAATAAACTCTGGTCCAAAAGAGGAGAAGCACTTTGTAAAACATGTGAATGAAACATGAAGGAAAGGGGGAAATATCTCACAATTGTATCCTTATTGTTAAATAGAAATTCATATATAGTAGGAATTTCATAAAAGCTAGTATCATACGATATCAGTATTAAAACGCTTCCATCGGCCACTCAATGGACCTCTTAATTTTAGCGCAAATTCTTCACTTCATTTTAAGATTATACAAAAAACCGCAAAAACTCTCCTTACATTGTATACGCAGGATTTCTTTTCTCATACATTTTTTCTTGTTTTCTTTTCTCTTTCAATAGGAAAATTTGTTTTTCTTTTTTCTTACGCGATAAACTTTGCAAAATTGCAACGCAAAAAATTCAATTTTGGCGAATTGTTTCCATCAATTTTTTTCTTTTTAAACCTCCCAATTGACACACTTTTCAATGAGAAATTGTTCGAAACTTTTATCAACTAATATCACTGAATAATATATAGAATATAAATTCCAATTCTCGTGTTTTTTTCTTGTCGTGATGCTACAGTAAAATATAAATGCCATTCATCTGTTCGAAAAGAAGAAAAAGATCTTATTCTCAAGATGACGTTGTGGAAAATTTTACCACGCGAAAAATAATTTAAATAATGACAAAAAAGGCGGTAAAAAGTTCTGATTAAAATTACAGACTTTGATAAAAATAATTATGCGTGTGTGTGTGTGTAAATGTGGGCAAGGAAAATGAGAGCCATAATAAAGAAGTATTAATCAGTTTTCTTTTCTTCATTTTTTTTCTTCTGTTAATGCGACGCAAACTGAAGAAAAAATTTCTCTCTCAAGTGTTTCTCGTTAGAAAAATTAGTATTTTATACATTTAAAGTATATTATTATATATATCTCACATTTATATATTATTTAAATAATAAAATACACTTTCAATCAGTTTTTTTTTGTTCAAGGAAATATCCACGTTATATCCTATTGTTATAGTATTATCTTTACACAAGTCTCTCTCTAAGTTTTATATTTGTTCTCCTTCCTGTAATTGTATAAAATACAACACTAATTAAAAGGGAAAATTAAAAGATTGCAATCTCTCACATACGATAATAATTCACCAGAAGCCAAACACAAACCGAAAGCGTGTGTGTGCAAATTAGGAGAAAAAAATCACACCACCAAATCAAATGTGCTGATTAGCGAGGGGAGTTTCTCATGTTAAGAGTCAAACTCATGATAATATTTACAGGCAAAGCCGCCATGGAACGCTTCTAATGCCACAAATTAACCCAGCACCGAAAGTAAAACCTCAAGCAATCTCAACATGAAATAAACAGAGAAATAATTATTATTCACATTCAATTATAAATTCATTAATTGAGCTCCACAGTGTAATATTTCACCAAAGCAATTAACCAGAGTTTAGAGGGTAATTTTAATCAATTTATACGTCGACTCACATATTATCCAGTTAATTATTAACACATTTATACACAAATTCTGGTTCTTACTGCTTTTATTTCCACGTGCCAATAAGAATATATTGTGGCTAATTAATCAAATTTATATCAGAAATGAACACAAAGCGCGTATAAATATAATTTAAATATTATTAAAATGCATTTCCCTGTATCTATCATACTATCAAAAATAGTTGTGTTGAAAAGAAAAAGTCTCACAAATCTAAATTGAAATATTAATCAATTCTTATTCATGCATGCCATTCAATTACACAAATATACGAGATTATACTGTTTTTCTTGCCTTAAATTCACTGAATTCTTATTTAGCAATAACAATTATTTATATAAGAAGAAGATAAACTATCTAGAGTATATAATATTAAATTCAACAATTATGCAGCTATAGTCGCTTTATTTGTTCCAATGAAAAGTCTCTACTTTCGTCGCGAAACTAAAATACGATCAGCTGTTAGAATTTTTCTTTCTTGCCTCAACACGGAGGTCATCTTTTTGTCTTCACTTGTAAACTTCCTCAAGGAAAACGTGCTTTCATTCTTAGAAAAGAGAATAATTAATTAAATAGCCAGAGTACAAAAGTTCATAAACATCATTAAGACTTACTCGTTGTCCTGCAAATAAAGTTTTTACTTTGAGAAAAAAGGGGTCATGAATGTTTCCAGTGAGGAAAAACAGTAGAAAAAAAAACTTATAAATTGTCGATGTTAAGTGTTTTGTGTGTATGAGTATTATTATTCTTAGATAAAAGACTCTCTACGTTATCATTCACCTCCGTGATTCATGGCAAAGACACGCTATCTATCGCTCTATTATCACCATTGAGACACTCTCAATGGGGCTAAATGAAGATTAGTTTTCACAAAAATGCACCTTTTCCCGATAGGATTTAGCATTTATCTACTTCCGATTGATTCACTATTTTTTTTTCTCTGGAATTACTGATGAGTGAGCATTTTTTTCGGTGATCGAATGATAAAATCCGATTCATACGATATTGTGAGTGATTCTTCTAAGTTTCACAGCCGTTATCAATAAACACCACGCAAGGTATACAGAGAAAACCCAGTATTTTGCAACTTTATTCTCTCAATTGATAAGTCAAAAGAAATACAAAAGAGTCCAATTTAGAGATTTTTTTCTTCTCTCTTTTTTGGTTGTTGTTATTATTATTACGATTTCAAGACCCAAACTTTTACCGTTGCAAGCAAAGTGGGAGTGTTTATCCTTGTGACTTGTATATTATTATTTTATAAATATGTTTCAATAGGTATATATTCTCAGTACATAATTCCTATACTCTAGAATTAAATTTGATTCAATCTATCATGTTTCCTTTCTTCCCTTTTCCTGTTTTTTTTTATATACTGTCAAAGAGAGAGAGTAATTAAACTGTAATTTAACATGTAATTACGATATATTATATTCGCATATAATCTTTTATAATATCTGATTATATAATGATATCTAAGAAACATTTGAATTCCTTTCTTCTTCACACTCTATTCCATTAGTTACTACAGAAAATAAGACAAATGTACTTTGGAATTGATTTTCTTTTCATTTCTTCCTTCTTTCTCTTCCTGCCACCGAAATATTTTACGTTTCTTGGGAGTTTTTCCGCTGGAATTGTGGTGTCACACTAAACAATTCAATGCTCAATTGCCGTGGAATAAATCATTATACAATAAAAATTCATATTGATATATTCAACATTCAAAAAGTAATATCAAATATTTATGTATGTACACAAAATCCGCAAATAAATTCACACTTTTTACACAGTAAATTTTTTATGACTAGATTAAATAAAAAAAAAACCAACAAAAGTAAAACACGAGTGTGGCAAAATATGGGTCAAAACGAAGAATGAAAAATTGATCAATGAAAGTAAATTCCGAGTCACACTCGCAACGCCAACATATTATAAGTGAGAAATTACAGACAAAAATAGGTCAATCTCTTCAATATGTGTGGTATTTATAGAAGTGGAGGAAAACATCAAACAAGATTGAAATGTTGACAAAGTTTTCCCTCCCTTTCACATTCACCATTATTTATAAATGTACACTTTTCCGTGTGTTCATTTCACTTTTGCAAATATATATAGATATATAAATTGTAACATTGAATATGAGCGCGTGAATAACAAATTTTGCGCATGAAAAGAAGAGAGAGAATGAGAAAAAATAAGAGTGTTGTTCACCCACTCGGCCAAAAATTCCCATTGCATATTATGTATAAATGATGAATAATGTACAGAATCATGATGGGAAGTCGTAGGAAATTGATTTTTCCACCAAACATTTCCCATATACAATATCTCTACAGCTCAATCTCCTGCATCATTCAGTGAATAACAATATAGAGACATATTGAAACTTATGTAAATATAAGCGGATAAACCCATCACCATGTAAAATAGACATATTTCACACAAAAATATCCTTTACACCTTTCTTTCTCTCTCTCTCTCTCCAAACACCACTGAAGAAGCCACAAAAATGAAAAAAAGAGGGGAAAAAGGTAAAGTCATGAGGAAATGAAAAATAACAAGGCCTACACCACACAAGCCGAGAAAACCCCCATAACTCGTCAGCCGAGATCTTGCTGAGCTTCTGAACGATAGATAGCCGCTCTGTAACTGTACCTGTTAGTCGCCGGTTGTGGCTGCATGGGATTTGGCTGCTGTTGCTGCTGCTGCGGGATGTTCCCAGCGGCATTGGCCAAGTTCGCCCCAGCGGCCGCATTGGCCTGGAAGCTGGCATTGGGCAGTATGGAGTGATGGTAGGAATTGGAAATGCTCTCGTCCTGCATCAGGTTTGCCGGCTGTTGCTGCTGTGACAGACTGTTCTGCATCTCATGCTCACCCGACAACATTCTCGTGCTCAGTATCTCCGAATAGGTCTTGTATCTCTTCAGCTAAAAGATACAAAAGCAATCAACGTGAAAGCGCAATTAGTATTAGAGAAATGCACTCTGTACTCCACCTCATATTGCAGGAAGCACTCTTTCTCCTTGTAGTTTTGCAGTGGGAGACCCTTTGTTGGCACAGGACCACGTCGATGCTCCTCTATTTCATTCTCCAACTGAATAATCTTGTTATCATGTGACATCAATTGCTCTCGCTGAAAGAAACAATAGTCAGAGAAGACATATACTTTTCCATGATTTCCTGCAAACACTTACCAAGAGTAATTTCGTATGGTTACTTGGTAACAATGGCCGTTGAAAGCGTTTTTGGCTACCAACACCACCCTCGAGTGGTGGTGCTGAGAATGAGGCACACACACAATTGATTGTGTCAATCCAGGATTGCAGCTCCTTGGAATCGCTGGTCTGAAACAGATACTCAGACTGATCAGCTGTCTGCAGTCGAAACACGTGCTGCTTCTTCGTATAGTCATTCGCTTTAGTGGCAAGAGCATGGTGAATTCTGATTGCATTGTGAACATTGTCAGACATCTGAAAAACATCAAAATTGTTCAGTAAATACCAATTTGCCACAATGAAGACTCAATGAGCATACCTGATTTTTTCTGAAGCCATGCTCATCCTTGTGCAAGTACAACACCAAGTCTCTTAAGGTACAGTAGAACATCTTCCAGGAACGTTTGCCAAATGGTGCTGAAAACAGACCACAAAAGCCTACGTCATAAGTTAACCCGTACAAAATCACTGTGTGTTGTTCAAATGAAATGATTATTAGCACAACACTTTGCAACACATCTCACAACTATACACAATTGCCTTCCCATCCAAGTGCTAAAGACAAGAAAACAGATAGAAACACTTAAAGCCACCTTCCAAAGGCACATTGAGGGTGATTTAGTGAGCCACTCGCATGATACCACCAATCACCAATGCGTCCTCCGACAAGGGACCACTTACTTTTCTTATAGTTAGAATCATAGCAGCACTTTCGCATCACATATCCCTTCTTATACTCAATGGCAGCGACACTGTTCATGGTATCCAACAGAGAGTTTGATCCAAGTTGAGTGCCCTGAATACTGTTATCGGCACGTGATTTCTGCTGATCCGGAGACTCCTCGTCCCTGAGACATGAAGAGTTATTGCAAATTAGTGCTGTATTATTGACACAGTATTAGAAACACGTCTGACCATAAATAAATCGTGAAAATGTCCACACACGCACGCACGCATTCACACCCCCATATCAAAGCAATTAACAGAAAACCATATTAAAGAAATTTAATGGGAGAAAAACAAATCGACATTATTTTCCGCCCATTCTCTCTCCCAACCATTATTACAACATTCATTGAGGCCAAACAATCGAGAGAATAGTTGTAATTTCCTCTCAAGTTAAAGAGCGTTGAAAGAATAAAAGGCATAAATTGGATTTGCTATATTTCACGGCCAATGACTTGGCGTCTTGAAATACCATGAGACTTTCTTTGCCCGGAGCCTCAGCAAATGCAACCGCACTCAATTTATTTATGGATGCTGTTTTTGTTAAACTCTCAACAAGAAATACATCCAATTATTATTGATTTTCAAATGAAAATTGCTACACATTGTTGTGAGTTATGATGAGAATTTTTTGTAAATTACCAACAACGCCAATACTACATGTGTAGCAATTGCTTGTGCAGAGAATATATAATATTATTATGCATTGTATTTGTATCTACAGATATACTTACAGAGCCCACTCCAGTGGATGACTTTTGATAGCCTGATAGAGATATTTTAAAATATCCTTCGGGAAGTTCTCTCCATCATTCAACTCAGACAGATTATCGATAAACTCCGAACAAGTCATCTTCCGCCCAATATTCTGACCGTGTAAGTCGGTATTAAGTAACATTATAGCACATGTAAGCGTATGAACGGCGTCTGCAAAGGAAATGGCCATCGATAAATCTCACACAATGCACATTGTAAAGAGGTCATCACAGTGAGTGTTACCTTGAGAATTAAAAGTTCCTGGATTGCAGTCTAGATATCTTTTGGAGAAATGCACTAATACTCGCTCCCTCTCTTGCGTTTCACCCGACAGCGAGAATTGCTGAAGAAATTGCCGCAGAGCCTCGTCCAGACTCAATCGCTCAAAGTTGAAGTACTTCAAGTATTCATCAGCAACAGCTCGCGTGAAGTCATTGCTGAAAGTGAATATTCAACAAGTCAATAAATATTGTCCCAAAGCGGAAGGACATATTTCCAACAAAAGGAACACCATACTTTTTGCTTAAATGTCTAGAAACATCACTCTTTTTGAAGCCATCCAGACCATAGAGACGCTTAGCCAGTCGAACCGCAGATGGCATGTCAACAGCCTTCGGTGAATAGTGATAAGAGTGCAGGGAATCCACATCACTGCCATCGTCAGAAACAGGTGGTGAGGATTCCTTTCCATCCTGCTGTCCGGAAGAATCTGCAGGGAAAGGCAAGACGTTCAAACATTAATCAATTTAGACGCATGAGAAAAAGAAAACTCACCGATCATCAGAGTTGGCGGATCCTCCATGAGCGTGGCAAGTTCATCTTCTGAGTTCTTCAACTCCGAATACCCATGCTGAACGAATTGACTGTTTTGCTGCCTCAGATGAATAGTGATCTTGTTATCCTTGTCCTGTATCCTGTGCACTGTATCCGAGACGAGAATTGTGGAGTCAGAGTCACTTGGATCACTGATCGCCATCGCTGCCATGTCCTTCGAGCTCAGTAGATTATCCTCATCCTGATAATCAGGGCTCGAGATGTTCGACACCGCCTCAGACACACTGTGATCACCATTTGGCGGTCCCATCAGGTTCTGATGCTGATCCACTCGGCCGCTCAGTGGATTCTTCTCACCCTTGGAGCTGGAATTCGACGACATAACAGAGCTGGAAACGGACGTGGGCGAAGCGGGACTGTTGCTGTGCTGTGGCGATGAACTGATGGAGCTGGAGTGTGATGTTGATGAGTGGGTAGAGATCTGCTGAACAATTGGCGCATTGTACGTCCACACAATCCTGTCGCGATCCGAACTCTGACTATCCTCAGAGTCATGCCGCGTGTCCAGGAGTGTATTGAGCGAACTGTTGACATCCTCATCGATGTCAATTGGGATCACTGCACTCAATCCATCACGCTGACTCTGTTGCAGGTGATCTTCTGAGCGACTCGTCCTGAATCCAGCCGCATCGCACTTCCGCACAACACCGTTGTGGGTATTATTCGTACGTCGCAGCTTCGTTTCCGGCTGACCAGCGGACTCTGGGCTCGTGGGCACGGAATTGGCGGAGTCGCGCTTCTTCAGCGCCGGCAGATCCTCCAGCACAGGCGTAGACATTGATATCGGTGATGTAGGCACTGAGAAACACACATCGGGAGAACTCACGGCATCACTCTTCACCGTGGAGGAGGAGGAAGATTTGGAGGAGACTGGAAGATGGGATTCTTTTGGCTGCTTTCGCATTTGACCCGAGCCACAGGCCCGCTGACTGGCACAATCCACACTATCACCAGCCTGTGTGGCATCCTGCATCCACTGCCTATTGTCCGTCGCACCGTCAATCGCAGAACTCTTCGCCACATTGTCTTGACTGTGAACACTGTCATTAGCCGTACTGTTGCACATCACCACACCACTTCCTCTCGCACTTTTACTCTTCTGCTGCACACTATTTATAGCCCCACTGTGCTGAGATGCCTTCGTCTCAATGCTATCTATTATGGAATTGTTGTCCTTCTCAATGAGAACCTTATTGGAATTGTTTGAATCACCACTGAAGTCATCCGTTGAGTAGGTCGGCGAAGACGGGGAGGAATCGTACTTGGCCTGTGGCGCCATTCCACCATTCCGACGACTTATCCGTGACGGTGAATCCCGCAGACTGTCCACCTTCTTGGCATGTGATGTGATCAGTCCAGAACTCTGTGGCGTCCGCGATAGATTCAGAATCAAGTCACCAGTCATCATGTACGCCTCAAATCTCGCCTTGTTGGGCTGCACCTGGCTGTTGTTGTTGTTGTTCGTGCCATTCGACGCGGGCATGTGACCGGCATTCCTGCCCTTCACCCCGTGCGGCGACTGCGGCGCACTCTTCGTCGGCTGCGCGTGAGACGTGGTGACAGGAGGCACCGTCTGGCCGCGGACAATCTGCGGTATCCTCGATGGACGACTGACCATCGCCTCCGATGGCGGTCCCCGATAGGCCGGACTGTGGAGCACTCTGCTGCTGGCTGCCGATGCCTTGGGTGACACAGCACTGTCATTGAGACTGAATGGCCGAATATCAGCATCTGAGTGCAAATTGCTAGTTTGCTCCAGATATTTCCGCACGTGGGCTTTCACGTTGGGATCTGTCGGTGGAGACGCAAAGATATCAACATCAACAGCAAACAGCGAGATAAACTCATTCGCACAAACACGCACACACACACAAACACACAAACACACAACACTCACCTCTCCTGAGCTCCAGTGTCACTGGATCTTGGGACAATCTCAAGCATTTCAGTACTAAAAGGCATATAGATAAAATCCATTAGATCTTCCCACCTTGCAAAAGAAATGTGCACTTATATGTGCATTCCACACATTATATTCATACCTTCCTTAGTTGTGAATCGATGTACATCGGTGCCATTCACTTTAACAATTACATCGCCAGCTTCCACCTGCAAAGAGTGCAAAGAAAAAGAGCTCTCAATTTCTCCTACGAGCCACACAAATAAATAAATCACCCAACAGTCCATCGATATACAACAGCCTGAGCGAGTTTATCTAAATTGATTTTGTGAATTGATACCATAAACACTGGCTAATTGGATTGGGTGAAGATTCTGCATTTTCAGACACCCAACCATAAAACTCTCTATGCGTCACGCCTCTACAATTTCAATAAATCATTGTGCGAAAAAAAAACGCACAGAACTTGCTTCAGCCATCCAGCAAAAGTCGACCATCGAGTGACAAAAACACTATTCCAACGTTAGATTAACATCTAGTTCATGTATTGGAGCAGAGAAATGTGAACTCTTTCTGCCATTTCTTCTGTTTATGTTCACCCAAAAACTGCCCATTAATTTGCCCACCAAATATTCGATGGAGCGGATTTTCGGAAGAAAACCTCCACAAAAGATACCATGTGTGATGCGAAAGGACTTCAAAAGCATGCTGACTTGAAGAGTGAGAGAGAGAATTCCGAAATTGTGGCCAAAATCGATACCGGATATTTAACTCATCTATTTCCCTTTATGAGTTAAAAATATTTTCGATTGCCAAATTATACTCATAGCTAATCTTCTGGAGGAGAAGTTAAGTGTGGAAAACGTTGAATAATTTTTTATCCTAATCAATTATGATACAACCTTGATTCTTCCAACATATTTTTTGGCAATACAGAGAGATTTTTTGAGTGATTCTGCAAATATTACGACATTCCACCGTTGAGAAAAGCCAAAGAACCGCCCAAGAATGAATACAAATGACTTGAGAAAGGGTGTTTGACGATTTTTCTAATAGGCAGAGAAATGGTGAAAGATCGTTATGGGTCATCGGTGACCCATTTGCTGAGAAATTGTGTTTAAAAGTAAGCCAATTTATCTCTCAGCGAGAATTATAATAATTCCTCCAAGCAGGAAACGAAGATTTAAGATTCTTTCTGTCCAAGCAAATCTGGGTGAAAATGCCGAAACATCTTGTTGGTTTCCTCTTCAATTGACCTAAATCCCTTCAATAAATCCAATATCTTTCTTATTGGACTATGTGTGTTCTATGCAATCCCGCCAATGTTTGGCCACTTTCTCATCTCTCCTGAGCACCGCAACGCGGAAAGTCCTCTCGCCAGAGCGTGGGAATAGAAATTTGTCACGTCTGGAAGCTATAATTGCGCTCTCCTCGTTAAAACTTGTTCTTCTTGGGTGGAAAATAGAGAAAATATCCGACCATCGGGGCCATTGTGGAGTTTTCTCTTTCTCGCGACACCGCGAAAGTGAGACTGCGATGGTCAAAATGAGCCCTCGCGATTCCTCTTCCGCCTTCTCTTGAGTCTCGCGACCAAAACGCGCGACCGTCTCGCCCTGGGTAGAAAGTGAAGCGCGACACTCGAAGAGGGCGTAGCCTCCCAGTCATTCCGACGTTTCTCCAGCCCTCACAGCGCTCTCTTGGCCACACGCAAACACCACAGCAGCCCCAGGGACTCCCGGACCCGCGAAGGTGACTGCGAGGCGGCATGCAAGGGCTCCGCTCGTGTGATTTCTGAACTCCGCCGTGAAGGCAGTGCGCAGCATAAATCACGCTACATCTTATTTTTAGTGACTTCCTTCCTGCAACACCGCCTCCACCCCCATTCGCCGCCGCGCTAATGTATTCCGGGTCACTGGTGTCGCCACGGCGGGCGGCCAGAAGGGCTCTCTAATCCCATTTGCGGGCGCGACATGTATACAAAACAGAGGTGAAGAGGAAAAAAACAAGTCTTTTGGGGCCACTTTTCTCACACCTCACCCACACTTACCTCACCGCTTTCCGCGGCAGGAGAATTTTCCACAATATCATAGATAACGTGTGGCAGACCGGCGGCACTTCCGAGGAGCGAGAAACCGAGGCTATTATCACTTTTCTTTAGAATTATTTCAAAATTCTCCATTTCTCTGCCTTAAACCGACTGTCATTTGGCGCTGCTGCCACTGGTGGCTGGACACTGAACTGCAAATATCCCAATGGCCTGAAGTGGGCCGCGGATGGACGGTTTCATCCCGGCTGTAGAATTCCTCATTTTCTGCGGTCGGCAGAGAAACGCAGAAATTCACAGAGTTCTCCTCGAGGTAAACGTCGGCGATTACACTACAGAATCAGATGAGAAATTCAGGTGCCAAAAAATGTTGGATTTCAAATAATTTCAGGGAAATTCGTCGCGTAAAGAAATAATAGGATCTTCCAGCCGGGTTAAGAAACTCACGCTTGGTGGCGCGCACGTCGCCGTGCTGTCAGTTTCGCGGTGAAAGGAAAAATGGCAGGCCTCGTATCGAGTTTGGTTAAGGAAACACTTCCAAATTATCTCTCAAATCTCCCTCTTCCTGACTCCTTTGGAGGATGGTTCCACCTGGGATGTGAGTATCCTCTCTCTATCCATCATTTCACACCATTTCCCCAGGACTAATGTTGAACTGGGTCACGTGCGAGGTCATTTTTTGCCTCCCTCGCCGCGGTACTTTGCCCTCTCGGGAAGTCTTGCAAAATCCCCGAAAAGTATCCATTCTGAGAATTGTACGCAGCCCAATAATATTGCGAAGATTTCCTGGGGGTCAAATGCACCGTAACTTACGTAACAACTGAAGTGTGAAGTACTTTATCTCGGGCAATTTCGTATAACAACTGTTTAGGGGATTAAGATAATATTGAGCGAGATTTTGCGATTTTCTCTTGCAGTTAAGGACTGGCTGGCCCTGGTGCCCCCAACAGCCTTTCTTGCCGGAATCGGGTAAGTGAGTACGTCTGCTGATTGAGTTCCTAGTTAATGCTGTTCTGCGTTATTTCGCACAGGTACATGTCATATCTGGCGTTCTGCCCTCACGGTCGTCCCAAGCCCAGCGGCCAGGCCAATCAGAAGATCCGCAAGAGTGAGCCAAAGGTCGTGGATACGATTGATATAGAGGACATTGCTGAGAAGGCAGCCTTCTGTCGGTGCTGGAAGTCCAACAATGTAAGCAATCGTTCCGGAGAAACCGTGGCTAATGAGACTTTCTGTCTCGTCACGTTTCCCTGCCCATTTCACAAACATATTTTTCTAATATCGATGAATATTAATATGCTGTTTTCGGCACTTTCCAGTGGCCTTACTGTGACGGCTCGCACGGGTCGCACAACAAAGAGACGGGCGACAATCTGGGTCCGGTGGTGGTGAGGAAGAAAGGCAACTAAGGAACCTCCTCCTGCCCCACTTTCCCCTTCAACGAATTTGATTTTGGCCCCAGGAGGTGCGGGATGTAGTTGAATATTCGAATGCCCCAGCCTTTAGTTAAGTAATTCCGCGCAATTTTCCTACGAAATTACCTTTTTTTCCCGCAACGTAAGTCAGAGAGAGAGGTGCCGTCCTCACAAATCCATAGGATTAAATGAGCCAGTCGCTATTGGAATGATCACTGGGATGCATTATTGATATTACGTTTTTGGCATTTGCAATAAACAAAAATTATTTGCTTAAAATACTGTAGTGAATTGGGTGATTTCTTTTTTTCTAGAGAGTAAATAAAGGTCAAATGTTGAATTTAATTATGGTGTGACTGTATTCAATAGCCTGGGAATTGTTTGAGAAAAAAGTTTGAAGCATTAGAAATGAGTAAAAAGAGGAAAAATGAAGGTTCCACCGAGAGTTGAACTCGGATCGCTGGATTCAGAGTCCAGAGTGCTAACCATTACACCATGGAACCGTTAATATATAGCTGATCGACTTTTATCAACACCTAAGTTAATGATAAATTTTACAATATAGGAAGATCTCTCTTATCATAAATGATTCACTAACACATTTTGCACTGTGCAAAATGATAAAACCCCCGAATAATTAAAAATTACGGTAATTGTTCAGGAAAATTCGATTTTAATCCAATTGTCCGTGCTAACATGACAAATTCTCTATCGGCGTGTAGATGGCGTGTCATGCATGTTTATTTCTCTTCTGAATATTTTTGGGAAGCTGATCACGGAAATTTTATTGAACACTTGATACAATAATGAATAAAATGACTGTGAACACTTCTCAAAATCATCTTAGATCTGGAAGGTGAATTAAGAAGACTTGCTCGCATGAAAAGATGCTCTTTGGCCTGCAATAAACAGTGGAAAAATAGGGCAAATTAATAATAATACTATAAATGCATAGATTTACATTCTGTGAATGGGTAGAAACATCCTTTTTGCATAATGAAGGTGTAATTCGGGAGTAATAAATTAAATAGAGTTGGGAAATTGGTGTTAATAGTTTGCAAAAGTGCCATCACCGGTTCCATGGTGTAATGGTTAGCACTCTGGACTTTGAATCCAGCGATCCGAGTTCAAATCTCGGTGGAACCTTCACTTTTTCACTCTGGCTCACCTGTAAACCTCTTTATTTTGTGCTAATTGTTTTTTAAAACGTCTCCATATAGAGGTCAATGCACTTCCTTTGCGTTCTTCTACATTTGCCCTGAATTTCCTTGTGAATGGATGAAAATCTGATGTCTGCTTTGAAGTTTTTCAGCCTTCATGGATAACTTTCCTTCATTTGCAAGTAATTTACAGGTATTTGGGAGGTGATTTCTTCTTCACATACCTGAAGAAATTCCAAGAATTCTCTTTAAACTTCCTCTTTTTTCTTGTAGATTTGCAGTTTCTTCCGTAAAAATCTTTTCAAGGTGGATTTGACTTCGGGATATTCTCAATCAATAGTGAATGTGCTCAGGAAATCACTCCTCTTCGTCTTAGTCATCCTTGGACTCTGTCAAGGAGGCCAAACGAGAGATTCCAGAATCACTGCAGCATCTTCTGAAACTCCTCCCGCTGCTTCAGACACTTGAATTTGCATTTCTGTCCCTTCTTCTGCATACTGGGAATCAGGACCTGGAGCCGGAAATCCTGCGCTTATCCTGTTGCGAACTGTTCTGAACTGTTTGGTTCTTTTCTCAAATTTTGCGCTTTATTTTTCACGGCCTTTTCTTCGCTCTCTCCACGCTGTTTACCTAGAAAATCAATATATTACAGTATTTAACCATCACAAATTTACATTATAAGTGCATTACTTGATGAAAACAAGGATCAAAACTGCATAAAACACTTGACAATACGGAAAAGCATTTTCCCTCGCTTCTTTTGTTTACATCACGAAACTCGTCGAAAGTTTTGCCGACACGAATAGAGTTGTCTCGCTCTCTCACGCACGTGTCGTCTCGTTCTCAGATTGTCATTCCGTGTGCCCTAGAAAAGCCGAGAGTTTCTCTCAGCGAGGATAGTTAAATTTTCCTCTTTTTTGCATGTTATCGCTGTGAATTAAATGCAATATCTTCTCTCTTTATTGGTGGACAACTGCTGGAGCTGAAAATGAGTTGCATGGTGCCAGACTGTCCGAGTTCTTACAAAACCAACCCATACAAAGTATTATTTCATAGGTAAGTGATAGTTCTGTTTCTCCTTGGGTTTTCCGTAAAATCTTTAACTTCTGAACTTTTAAAAGGATTTGCAATGAAAAAACTGTAATTAAGGAATCTGGACATAGGGAAATTTGCTGTTGGAAGTTTAAAGAATCCGTAGAAATGTGAGAGAAATTATTGTTTTGATTTTGAACTCTCGAATAGCAGAGTCGCATTAAGGAGTAAAAAATTCTAAATTAGATTCTTTTCTTTTGTATCGTAATTAAACACATTCAGTGAAGTGATCATAAAATTTGTCCTGTTTCAAGATTTCCTCATGATAATAGAGAGCTTCAAAATGTGTGGAAGGTCTTTCCAGCAGACCGTCTGAACTTGGAACGGTCGTACCAGATCAGACCAGGCGATGTTGTGTGCAGTTTTCACTTCAAGGAGACGGACAAGATCTATATACCGAGAAATAAAAGGAACTGGGTTTTGAAGGCTGGAGTTGCTCCCATGCAGATAAAAGCGATTAAACAGGAGTCGAAAACAGAGGAAAACCCAGTCGAGATTGGCAGCTTAGTATGTTCCGCAAGCAATTCATCAAAAAGGACTTATTTCAGGCTGGATCCTGCGGTGGTGAAGATGAACAGTATTAGGGGCGCAACGGGATCCTGCAGCGTAACCGCGGAACTAGAAACTAGAAGAGTCACAGAATAAAACTACCTTTGGGATTTATGAGATAGAAAATTAGCAAGAGCAGTTGGAATCAGGGAATAATAACGCTGATACTGTGGTGGACGTGGATGATATATACACAGGTAAACATTTCTAAAATATATGACGTGGAAATTATTTTTTGCTAATTATTTGAAATTCTAGAGTGGGAAGTTGTGGATATGGACAGAACTGGAAGAGAACAAACACCAGGAACTTCTACTGATAGCAATACAAACTCTGTGTGTCCTGCTTACAGGAGTGGAAATGTAATCGCTGAGACGAATAGGTCTGTAACGTGTCCGATTGGAGGAAATGATGATCTGTCTGATGAGGACGATGAGGAAGACGATGTAATATTCTTGAATAGAGAAGAAGTTACTCCAGTGATAGTTGAAGGACCTCTCAAGATTACACACGTCCAATCTCTTCCAACTCAAATGCCCACATTGAGTGTTTCAACGAAGAGTGCTGCGCATGGCTTTACGAAAGAGTATCATAAGTTTTGTCAAGAGCGGGAAGAGTTAAAGGAAAGGATAACAGAAAGTGAATTGTCTAATGGGCAAGGCAAAAGGGCCATGAACAATCTAATTGGTGATAAGATTAGAAGACTGGAGATAAGACTGGCGAAAAGTGAGGCTGAAGTGAATAACCACAGGATGGCCCTTACGAAGTTGGCAAACTATGTGGGCAGTCTGCCAGCGCCAGGCAGAGCGCTCATCCAGAGGATCATCGACAGACAGAAGCGTGAAAGTGAGACGTTCCACAAGTGCCTCTGGGACTTTGCGAAGAATATTTACGACATGTCTCCGGCATCCTACAGGTATTTGTGACTATCAATTGACTGAGAATATGTTTTGTGACGACTTCTTTGCTTTAGATACATCAGGCAACAGTTCGGAGAGAATCTGCCCCTTCCAGAGGATGTCTCAGCATACCAGGAACCCCAGTACTGATGATCCCTCTTATATTTTCATTTCTCATGTCAATCAGATCTACGAGACTTAATTGGAGGCAAAATACGTGAAGTCAGCATTTTTTCAAAGTTACAAATTACACTGAAATATTTGAATAAGAAGCTTTAGAGGTATATTTTATACTAAACCTGGATTTCATTACTCCCAATTCGCTCCTGGCGCTACTATCAGCGCCTCTCGCGAGTAATCCCACAAACAGTTTATTGTCAAAAAAGTTTCAGTGTCGTGATTTTTGCGAGAGCTCGAAAAAGGCAAATAATCTCCTTTTCACCCAGCTTTGGTGTCGTTTTTGCTCATCTGCACAAGTTAACATCCACCCCATTGACCCACCGTAACCCATTATATGCAACATAGTTGCGCAGCACTCTATGTTTGGCCGCAGTTTGGATCTGGATGATGAAGAGTTTGTGTTCCTCATTGACAAAGATATCAGAGAGTTTTGCGAGCAAAGCCATGGCGAGAGGTAAGACACACGGAAGCATCGCGCACGGGAGGCTCACGCGGGGGACGACTGGCCTCAAGGTCGGCTCCTCGGATGGGACAGACGTTTTTGGTGCGTACACGAAAATGCGCGTCACGCCATTCACACAATATGTGGCGACATTCCATCGGCCACGAGCTGATTTGCATAGGAATAGAGTCATGCCTTCCTGGGTGTTTTTTGGCCAGGCAGTCGCGGAGTCAGTGGCGGCGGGAGAGCCGCAGTGACAAGGCTCAGGGCAGGACGAGGCAGTGAGAGAGGGACAAAGAGGCCGAGCGAGTGTAGATAAAAGCCCATTTGTTAAATAATACTCTGCGTGTGTGTGTGTGTGTGCGTGCTTGAGAAAGAGCAGCTGTCGCCGAAGCAGTCATCAATGGGACACACATATCAATTCTCACCTTTTCCCCCAAATCTTTCCCAGAGCAGAAAAATCAATAATCCGGAACGCAAGAGACTCGCGAGGCAGTTGCATGAACTCCGCGACCTGGCAAACTAGCGCGAAGCCTCGATAAGAGTCCCAAATTACAGCAATCTGCAAAGCATTGTGGGTGCAAACAATAGCCAAGCAGTGGCAAGAAAAGCGAGCCATCGAACTCTATTTACTCATTGGATCAATTAAATAACACGGCGAAGATATGGAGGAAATCCCTCAAGACACGGAGATGGAAAAACGACAAGCGAGTTATTGTGCATTATCTTCACAGTACAATTAATTGCGCGAATGGTGTAAGATGCAATTGTGGAAAGAGAAAGTGAAACTGCTCTTTTTTCGCCATAGATTTTCGTATAGTTACTCTCTTGTGTGTGTGTGTGTGTGTGTGTGGATGAGAGCTGAGGCGAATCATCGACTCCCGCGATGTCGATGATTGCTAATGTTACCTCAATTCTGCGATGTGCATTATGTAAAATCTCGTGCTCCACCTACAACAGCGCACATCTTCCACTGGAGTTCACGCGATTGAGAGATTCCAGCAAAACGGCACTTTTTCTTCGCATTAAGTGCTTGTTTTCATTCAAGTTGCCCTCATTAACAGTGCATTAATGAGTGTCTTCCGCTCAACGACGCTGACAAAGTGTGGGTGGACAGTTTTTGCAGAGTAACACTGAGATAGAGCATCAAAGCGAAAGGGACTTAATTGCTGGTTATCTTAGCGCAAAGAAATTAACAAAAATTGCTGGGGAATTCAAGTTAAACTTGTTAGTTAAAATATGAGAAAAAAGGACGGAAATTAGGAATAAATTAATGGTTTTCTCCGATTATTTTTTAACAAATCTTCACTTCTGCCTTAAATTGAATTGAAAATGCAACTTTCGTGCATTCTGATACCCAATGCTGAGATACAGAAGTGAAAAGTCTAAAATAATACTTTAGTTGCTTAGAGCAAAATCTCGGTCAGTGTCGCTCAAAAATAGATCTCTGTTTATGATGATAAAATCGGTGTGAAATTGGTGGGAAATGATTTGATTGTGAGCAAAGTGAAAAATCAGCTGAGAAATAACCTTTCTGCCCGTGTTCAATATCAGCAAATATTTTCTCTAAAATCTCCTTGACTCGACGCAGTGTGAGCGCGCGCGTGTGTTTTTTTTCTGGGTGTTGGAATTCAATCGCCAAGATACATATTTTCCTTCACTCACACTCGCCTTTTGCGCCATCTCATCTTATCATACAATGTATATTGAGGAAATTTTCAAAAATAATTCATTGTCGAACGCAAATAGCATTCCGCTGCTCGTTCACATCGCGCTGATACGCGTTGGAGTTCAATCAGCGGCAAAAGTGGACCAATTATTGTGCTGAGAGGCTCTCAATATCTCTCTCTCTATCCCTTTCAGAGTGTTGATCTTCCCACCGGTGAACAACTTTCGACGCTTCCTGATACACAAAACATGCGAAGAAGTGGCGATAAACCACGACATTGCCACATTCTCAATAGGTCAAGGTCAGGAGAGACGCACTGTGGTCTGCTCCAAGAGTCAATTAATCAATAGAGAATCTCTGCTGGAGACCGCATTTAATTGTGAAAGTCACACGGTCAACAAGAGCAAGTGAGTGACACACAAAATTAACGTGTATGCAATTAAGATGAAACATTCTTCTGCTCTTAACATATGCAGACACAACAAATTCCTTCGGTTCTCCTCCGAACGGTTCAGTGATTTTTTCACAACTTTCCATTTCACCCGTGTGTCTTTTCTCTTTCTTGTTTTGCCAACAGATTGGAAAAAGACGCATTCAACGCGCGCAATCACGACTGGGACGCATTCCGGAAGAGGAAGCCTAAAACTGACACGAAATCCTGGAGGATGGGAGTTGAATGTGAGTAGTAAATCCATCTGGGGAGACACTCAAATTGGGCTCAATTCACTGGTGATATCGCATACTTCACTTTCACTTATCCCAGTTAACGAAGTCATGACACAGAAGACGTGTATTACGAAATGGCAATTTTTATACAATCACTCTACTTGTGCCACAAGAAGTGGGTAAAGCGAGTCAAAACGTGAACTTTACAGGCACTGCGCAATGTTTTATATGCTATATGCAAAAGAGACCGAGACAAATTGCTTCTGTGGGAGTTTTTCCTCAATGTTTCATTAAACTTTGTCAATTGTATGATTTTTTTTTGAATCAGGGAGAGAAAAGAGGCATAAAATACATTTTTTAAATTGCGAAATTCTCACATAAAAAAAACACATAATGAATTCAGAAGCTAAAAGAATTAATTTTGCAACATTTTACATAATATAATCAGCTTGACAGTGAGAATTACTAATGATTTTTGTTAATGTTATTTTCTCACAAAGAGAAACACAAAAGGAATTTCTTTTTTGCAAAATCAAATGAAGAAAAACATCACGAAAGAAAGATGTAAATTACATAAATTCGAGATGCACTTTTTAGCACAACGACTATAAATGAAATTTAATTGAATTTCAAACAAAATGATGTGCGTGACAAGTAACAAATCGTCAATTGGAAATTGTGCGTTTTTTCTTCTTCTAAAACTTCAACACTCAAGAGAAACAAGAGTGTGTTTTGTGAGGGAAAAAAGTAACAATAATAATAATAATCAAGAGTGTTTTCACCTTTTCTATTGCGACTTAATGGCTTAATATAAGTTTATGTATGCACAATGATTGGAAACGAAGGAGTTGAAGAAGGTAAAAAGTGAAGTGTGATGGAAATTTTATGCGGAAATCCACAAAAATTTTCCACTTGATGGGTTTTTTCGTAAATTGCGAAGCGGAACAATTTCCGATGCCGCGTTGTATTAAATATTGCTGATATGGTGGATAACATGCGATATCATTTTTTCACACTTGTTACTCTCGTTGAACGAAAGTGAACTCTTGCTATGCTGCACACTTCCAGAGTGATCTGCATTTCAAATACACTCGAAGATGTATTTATGCGCACGTGATTATTTATGGGATTTCTGTGATAATTTTGATAGATTGTATAACATTGATCTTTTTGCGTAACGATTTATCCAATAGATTTCATCAAATGAGGCACGCGGTGTTGATAAATATGAGCGTGAGTGTAGTGCTTTTGTGGTTGAATTGGTTGTTGAGGAATCAATGAACCTTAGGCACCACTCTTGTCCGGATGAGATTGCGTTTTAGCTAGACAATAAGTAGAAAAATTATGTGTTTGCCAATAATTTGCATCACTCACGATTTTCCTGATGAATTACATTGTGGTTTATTCAAAAATTTTCACTTTTTCTATGGTGAAGAGCAGCCAATCTGCCGATTCTATTGACGCTTATCATTAGTCAATCGATTTTGGGATGAACCTTGAGCATTTTTTCCAGCTTCAGCAGGAAAATTGCGTAATGTTTTTTAAGCCAATCGTGTGCAATTGATTTTTCATGTTTCAAAGTCAAGTCGCGCTAAAGAAATTACGACAAAAAGATTGGATGGCTCGAGTGAGTGATGCAACGCGACAAAAGTTCAGTGCGTTTGCATATAGAGTGGTATATTTGGGTGTGTGTGATGTTTGGGGTTGAGAAATTGAATGCTAATGCACTAACAAGCTCGCTGTTTTTCGCGTCTCCGCGGGCAGCCAATCGATCAAATGTGCCAGCAGCGTCGCAGCGGACAAGAGCCGCCACGAGTGTGAGCAATGGGGCAAATGGGGGGAGCGCCGTTGGTAGCGGCGTGGAGCTGTACAGGCCCCCACCGCTGAGGAAGGCCATGCTGCAGCAGACGCCGAGCGAGGAGGACTGCAGCGCACCAGAAGAGTCGACTGTTGCAGCCAGACGCGACAGTGGCCACAGCAAAGGTGCGACGAGCAGCAGCACGGCCAGCCAAGTGCCACAGAAGAGTGATCAGTGTCACGCAAAGGAGCCATCAGACTCAAGTGCAATTGTTAATCAAAACAGGTGAGGGATTTTCAGTGCAGAAGTGATGAAAAATGCGTTATTCCTTGAAAAGTGAAGGGTCTGTTTTGTTGGATTAAAGGTAAATTTTCAAGTTAATGAATCATTTCACTGAAAGGAAAAGTTACAATTTGGCCCGGGGCGCAAAGTTGCTGTTCTGTCAATATTTTAAGCTCATTATGCGCTTACTCACGGTTCACTTCGTTAGAGATTTTGAACTCCAGTGCTGTGTGTGGATGAATTGTAATGTAAAGTGACCTCATTAGCAGTATCTGAGAGATTCAGTGAACTTTGAGTGAGTCTTAGGAAGTTTTCCCGGTTTCCATGGAAAATTAATTGGCTGTTTATAGCTTAATACTTGAGGAAACCTCAATTTGTGAAACTTTCCTTGCGATTTTGTACAAAACATCGTCATATTATAGTTCTCAAGGAAGAATGGAGTGATGCTTTATGTCTTAATAATAGGATTTAAGCACTTCTCGAAGCGATTTCTATGAAAGTGTTTGGTGTTCTTCGTGTTTCAGGGCGGCAGCAGCAACACCGAGACAGAGGGAGAGACGTCCAGATCGTGCTGTCTACATTCCACGGGCTCGTCGAAGTCAAACGACACCTCCGTCGAAGTCTTCGTGCGCCAGTCAGGCGTCGATATCAGAACCGCCACTGATAAATGTTTCACAATCAGCAAAGCCAGAGTCACAACAATCGAGTAATAAATCTGTGATTTCGCCACGATCAGCGGCGGGCAGTGGCGGAGAGGAATGTGATGCAACAGCGCAAGCGAGTCCCACGCTCGACACTTGCTCTGTTGCTGAGGTGAAGGGCGATCGCGAGGGGGGTGGAGCGGGCGATGCGGAGAGTGTGGATGGGGGTGAGCCAACAGACTGTGATTTGGAACCAAATATTCATGCGGAGGAGGAGAAGAATACGACAATCATTGAACACAACGAAGTCAATATGAGCAGGAGGAGCAAGGCGAATCAGGGTGGGAAGAAGGGTCTGAGGATTGAGGATGGACTGGTGAATGGGAGTGTGTCGGAGAGCAAAGAGGACAAGGAAGAGAGGGAATTTCGACGAGCTTCTCAGGTAAGAAAAGTGCAAGGAAAGTCATTTGAAGTAGTTTTGTGTAAACGATTGCCTCGTTGTCTTTTATCACACAGGAAATCAACAGAAGCAATCGACGAATAATCAAGCAGACATTCAACTCGTCAGTGCTGGAAATTTCTGATCCGCCAAAGAGTGCTGCACAGAAGTCCAGCGAGGATGGTGAGGGTCAGAAGAAACGAGTGATTGATCCGGAGAATGACGATTGGGACACGATGTTCGATGACAACGGAGACTGTTTGGATCCCAACTTGCTCAAGGAGCTGACAACAGCGGTGGGAAAGGTTAAGATTGAGCAACCGAAGACAGACTATCGACTTTACCAGAGTAAGCAGGATCTTCTGAGCGAAGAGGAGTTTCCACATGTGTTGGAAGTGTCGAATTTCCCAGTTGAATTTAAGACGCAAGACTTAATTATGATCTTCTCGGCGTACAAAGAGTCGGGATTCGAGATCAAGTGGGTGGATGACACTCATGCGTTGGCGGTTTTCAGCAGTTCAAAGATCGGTAAGTCAAAGTGATTGAGATTGCAGATGTTTTGAATGGATTGTTAGAGATTCTCATTCATTGCTGCAGCCGCTGAAATTCTCGCTACGAGCCACCCATTTGTGAGCCTCAAGCCGTTGGCTGAAGCCACTGCAGAGTCCCGCAGCAAGGCGAAGAAGTGCTCCAACTCGCTGCAGCCCTATCGACCACGTCCGGAGACTTGTGCGGCACTGGCGCGTCGCCTGGTCACGGGAGCGTTGGGAGTGCGGCTGAAGACAACGCGAGAGGAGCTGGAAAACGAGCGAAGAGTTCTACGAGCTGCCAAAGGTGAGATATTTTACTGTTAAACAATCAATATATATGCATGTGTTAACGTTGCTTTTGTATCTTCTGCAGAGAGAAAACTCCTGGCGGCGAAGCAACGAGACGAAGTGTGGGATAGTTAAGGACAATATATTTTCCATGAGGGAAATTTTTTGAGGGTGGTGAAGGAAAAATTTACAAGAATGACAAATTGCCATATATGCACCAATTTACATATTTTTATTTTAAATGAGAACAAAAAAAAAACGCAGAAAAATATGTCAAGTGCAAAACAAGGAAAATTGATCTCTTGTGGGGGAAGAGAGAATCCACATAAATCAATTATCTTATCAAGATGCGAATAATAAGAGAGAAAAATATTGTCTCGAGACGCACGGAAAGCAATCTTCTGCTGTGTCTTTTGTCAAAAAGTGTTGTATCGCATAACATAATCAGCATCACAGAGTGGAGAAATATTTCAAGAAATCAACCATTGATATTAATGAAACCTTCAATTGTAACCATTGTAATAGTGCTAATGAAGTGGATTATAATTTTATGGATTTATATACTGTATTACCTGATCATAAATGAGACATATGTCTAGAGATGAGATGCTTTGTGGCAATATTTTACTGGAGAACGCGTGTGTCGTTATATAGGATAAATTGCATGATGAACTCTCATTTCTTATACACGACAAAAAGTATAATCAAATTTGATAAGATTTACCCAAAAAAAAAGAACATGTGAAGAAAGTTACATCATAAGAATGTATTTTACCAATATTTTTTTGCGGGTAAAATTGTGAAGAAATGGAAAATACTGAAATGCATTATATTTATATGATAATGAGGAAATAAATGGGAGGAGAGAACCAAGCGAAAGACGCGCGCGTTTTCACTCACCGTGTCCATGGAAACGATTTCCTAAACAGCAAAAGAGGAAGTGTTCGAGTTTACTGAATGTGAAATAAAACACAATAATGTTCACGACTTTTTCCTCAGACGTCGTGGAGTTCCAATCAACATTCAAATACGATCAGTGAGTGATCTTTTGTCCAGATCACATTTGCCTATTGGTTGTGTAATGGGTGTTTTTCCTTTCGTACAGAACGGTTGATTTGCTCTCGCGCAGCGTTTTGACTGATCCGCCGGCGGAGAAATGCGACGCCTTCACCAACACCATCTCACCAAGGAGTGTCTCCATCCAGACAGAGTCTCCAGTCACGGGGATTGTGCAGCTAAAGGATGGGAATGAGAAGAAATTGGCGCAGTGGCTGCAGAAAATCCTGCCACTGGTTGAAGAGGAGCTCAGAATGGGAATGTCACCGTGTCTTCAAACGTTTTCAAGCAGAGAATCTCAATCACCAGCGAAGATAAGCTTCCTGGAGTGTCTCAATGTCAAGATTCCCGATGTGGCGAGTGGGAAATTAGTCAGAGGTGCAGCCACGTGGCTCTCTCTGGCCACCGGAGGCGCTCCATCTCTCGCTCTGGCTTGTACTACGGTCCACGAATCCTGGTGTGAACACAACACGCCAAGTGTCATTCTCTACGTCCCCAAACGAACAGACTCTCAGGGAATTGGCGGTGTTAACTACACAGAATCTCAGACAATTCCCGTCAAGTCTTGCATTCAAATCCTGTCCACAAACTCTCACAACAGAGACATCTTCGCAGGCGGAACAGTTCTGGGTGACTTGTACATTTGGCATCATGAGCAGCATCAAGAGAGAGACTCTGTCAGGGAATTGTTCTCAGGAACCACTCAAAATGGGGAAATTGTGGCCATGTCTTGGCTCAAGCAACGGCCATCCTTGCAGGATGTGAATCTCCTGACTTGCCACACGGATGGTGTGGTGGAATCCTGGAAAATTCTGGCCAGCACGCAAGTGATTCACGAGAAAACCTTCAGAATCTCAGCCAAGGGACAAAAATTCCCAGCCATTGATCAAACATCCACTCTCAAGACAATTGTCTCAATTGACGATCGGAGTGAATTTGTGATCGGAACTGAGGATGGAAGAGTGATTCTCTGCTCAGCTAATCAACTGTCAACCATCCGAGGAGCGAAGAATGTCTACGATCCCGTCCTGGCAGACTTGGAAGCCCATCAATTCCCAGTGACTTCGCTGCAAATGGTTTCTCACGGAGGACGACAACTGCTCGCGAGTTGTGACTTGACTGGAGAGGTCTTCTTTCATGACATCACAGGGTAAATTATGTGATTTAATATCATATTCTTTCCCTTAAAAGCTCCCTTTCGTTCAGATCAACATCAGCAGATCCTGTGGTCATCCTCAAGATGCCTCTTCCCTTCAAGAACACCATTGCAATTGGCAAGAATCTTCAGTTCATCGTGAGTCCCGGAGAGTTTGGTAGTCTGGAGATTTTCACAGCATCTTCCGGACTAAAGTCCTCAATCGATGGCAATCTGAGAGGAAAAGGCAACGTTTTGGCCATCAGCAACAACAGGTGATAATTTATTTCACAACACAAACTGGAGAGAAACACTAACTAAAGAAAATCAACTTCCAGTGAATGGATCATAACTGGAGTGTACGAAGGGAACTTCAACATCTATCGCATCACTCTGTGAGCTTCTTTACCTTCTCCATCACATCATTAATTCCGCCCACCATGTAGAAAGCAATCTCCGGAATGTGATCCATGTCGCCACTGAGGATCCTCTGGAATCCATCAATTGTCTGCTCCAGCGCCACAATCTTGCCCGGCATTCCCGTGAAGACTTCGGCAACCTGGAAGGGCTGCGAGAGGAATCGCTGTATCTTCCTGGCTCGGCCCACAATCAGCTTATCCTCCTCCGATAGCTCATCCATCCCCAGAATAGCGATCACGTCTTGCAACGATTTGTAGTTCTGCAGGATCTTCTGCACGCCACGCGCAGTGTTGTAGTGATCCTCACTGATGGCATTGGGATCCATGAGGCGCGACGTGGAGTCCAAGGGATCGACAGATGGATAAATGCCCAGTTCGGCGATGGCGCGCGAGAGAACAGTCGTGGCGTCGAGATGGGCAAAAGTTGTGGCTGGCGCTGGATCTGTGAGATCATCGGCTGGCACATACACTGCCTGGACAGATGTGATGGAGCCTCGATTGGTGCTGGTGATTCTTTCCTGCAAATTCCCCATGTCCGTGGCCAGAGTCGGCTGATAGCCCACAGCTGAGGGAATTCTGCCCAACAGTGTCGACATCTCCGATCCAGCTTGGGTGAATCTGAAGATGTTATCGATGAAGAACAGCACATCTTGTCCCTCATGATCACGAAAGTACTCAGCAATCGTGAGACCAGTGAGAGCGACACGAGCTCTGGCTCCCGGAGGTTCATTCATCTGTCCATACACCAGAGCCACCTTGGAAGAGTTGTCCTTCAGTGAAATCACGCCTCCTTCAATCATCTCGTGGTACAAATCATTTCCCTCGCGTGTCCTCTCGCCAACGCCCGCGAACACTGAGTATCCACCATGAGATTTGGCCACATTGTTGATCAGCTCCATTATCAGAACAGTCTTTCCCACGCCAGCGCCGCCAAAGAGGCCAATCTTGCCACCTTTCGTGTACGGCGCCAGAAGATCCACGACTTTTATGCCCGTCACGAGGATCTCCTGCTGCACATTTAGCTCCACAAACTCCGGAGGATCCGTGTGAATGGGGCGAGTGTCTGTGCACTTGATGGGGCCGCGATCATCGATAGGATCGCCTGGAAGAGAACACTGATTACTCAGAAGCCAACCTAACAGCAATTAATCGCATAATTCACCTATAACATTCATGATCCTCCCGAGAACTCCCGTTCCCACCGGCACCGAGATGGGGTTCAGTGTGTTGCAAACTCCCTGTCCGCGCACCAAACCATCAGTTCCGTCCATGGCGATTGTGCGAACGACTCTGTTGCCCAAGTGCTGAGCCACTTCGAGGATCAGCGGCGGGCGATCTTGGCGCGCAACCGTGAGCGCTGTGTAGATGCTCGGCAAATCCAAGTCATCCTCAGTGAAGCTCACATCAACCACAGCTCCAATAACTGCAATTATCTGCGATGAGAGTGGAAAATTTATTTTAAGACTCACAAATATATATCAAATTTGATCTCTTCACACATTCTTCAATTTCTTCTTCATCTCTTCGTCCCTATTCTGAGAGAAAACTGTGGGAAACACACGAAAGGTGGTTAATTTTCTCCTCATCTTCTCAATCTTCAATGCAAATGTTCAGTTCAACAAGGCTTTATCTGGTGATTAATAAGGCATTATGTTAGGTAATTTTCATGGAGTATATAAGCTTCAACTCACCTTTCCCTGCTTCGTTTGGTTCGAATCCTTTCCGCGCACCTTTTCCACGGTCTTGCTGACAATGTCCTTCATCGTCTCCGTATTGACTGAAGTCACGGGCGTTTTGGCAGGCTTCGCATCGCCCACATCTTCATCTTTGCAGCCGCCAAAGCGCAAGAGAAGAGAAACAAAAGGATTTATTTCAGGTAATTTCTTGTCTTTCTTCGCGGCTTCTTCACTCTTCTTCCTTTTCCCACAAGGTTTGGATATCAAGATATTTGGCCCAGGAATGCTTGAGGTTGCACCAGCACGATATTCCCTACAAGGATCATCTTGTCTCTCCTTCTTTTCAGAGATCCCCACATCTTCAGGCTTCGTGGTGTGGGCGACACAAGGATCAGGATCGAGTGGCGCAAAGGCAAACATCACGGGATCAATGTTGTGTCTATAGCAAGGACTCTTTGAATCGGTTTCTGAGCAGTTCTTGAACGGTTTCGAAGGCTTCATATCAGGCGAAATGACATTCTTTTCAGTTGTCAAAGCTTCATCTTGGTCTAATATATGTTCCTTCGCGGGATCCTTTTCGAGAACTGGAGGCAATTTCCCATTCCAATTCCCACAAGGATCAGACCCGTTCAGGATTATTTGGTACATGGAGGAATCGACATTGAATCCAGCGCATCTTTTCTTGGCTGAAGAACTCTTGATCCCAAAAGATTCATTAGATTTCCCTTCGAGACTTGATTTGAGAGAGAAATCTTGAGATTTGGAATCAACTATCTCGTTATTTCCAGTGACAATGTGCCCCAAAGGAATGAGTTTCTTGATCTTCAAGCGGATATCTTGCCTGTCTTCAGGGTTTTCCTGAACTTCTATCAAATCTACCGGTTCAGCAGGCTTCTGCAGGTCCTCAATAGTCTCCTTCCCCGTGGCAATGAAGCCCATGGGAAAGAGCTTCTTCACTTTCAGAGAAACATCAGGATTGGCAACAGTAGAGGCTGCTTTAGTGTCCTTACCGAGTTTCTTGTTGCGATCCTTGCGACAAGGTTGGCGATCTCTGCAATCCAGCATCGTCAGCTGCTTCGTGGAAATTACTCTCTGACTTGTCGAGTAGTTCCTCAACGCCATTATCCCCATGGCATTCACCTTCCATCCGCCTGCAAAGTCTTCAGAGAATTATTAGAGCAAGAACAACGAGATTTCGCGAATATGGCGTGTACTTACGAGGCCATATTTGATTCATTCCAACTCGAGAAAGCAACATTTTTCGCGCTTTTCTCTGCTTTCTTCGCAAGATCTCGTTTGCTTTTCCTGTCCTAAAACTTCTCCAATCTCTCTTCCTCACTCCAAAGAGCGTCTTTACGGCGAATTTAGCGCTAAACTGCAATTTTCACAAATCCCACGTTCATTTGTTACGAAAAATTAAAAATGGCTCCTTCGGTTCACTTCGTATATTCTCTCTTTTAGTACATTACAATTTCATTTAGTACCACCTAAGCTTCTCAAAATTGTGTCCGCTCATCATTTTTTAAAAATATCATTTTTCGTTACAAATCATCTTCAAATTTCTTTACTGATTTTCATAACTCCACTAATTATACATCCAGCCCAACATCCGTGAACCGCTCTACATCGTCAACACTACGTCCATCATTAAAAGAAACGTGACAAAGTAAGAGGAATAAAGTGTTTTGCATTCTTTACAAGGAACATCCTAGAAATTTTGTCGTGTGTTTTTTCTTCATCATCTGCTTTTGCTTCTCTCAAATGATTCACAAATGTTGTGCCACTCATCGCGCTACATTTCAAAAATAAATCGTAAATATATATAGATTTTTTTTTGTTTTAAATAAGGATATTCACAAACCGGGCTTATAATTATCTAGGACAGAGTTAAATTTAATTATTTGATCTCTAACTGCTGACTCCTTCATCGCCAGCTCCTTCTTCAGCATCAACTTCATGTCCTGCAGATTCGGCATCGACTGGCAATCGCGAATGTTGAGCAGCATGGAGAAGATTCTCTCCCACATCGCCTTCTGGAAATACCTGGGCAGCTTGTGCGTCATCGTCCAGCCATTGTAGCTCTTCGACACATTCATGTACTTCCCAAAGAGCAGCACGTGAATCGTGGCCGCCACACCGAAGAGATCCGTCTGGTATGTCCACGGCCGGTTCTCCAGCATCTCCGTGCACGTGAATCCCTCCGTCTTCACCACATACTTGAACGTCGTGTTCTCTGGAAAGAGCTTCATGTCGATCGACTGGCCGAAATCAATGAGCTTCAGTGCTGAATACGGCGAATCGTAGTTCAATCTGAAAGATAGGATCATTAGTGGAAATTAGGCCACAGAGTCCTCTCTTCACACAAAGAGGACTCGATGAACTCACTTGGATGTCAGCATAAAGTTATCTGGCTTGATGTCAGCATGTATGATATTGCACGCATGGAGATAATCAATGATTGAGAGCATTTGAGTCGTCAGCATGATCACAATGAACTCATGAAGACACTTGTCTGTTGTTTTCTTGTGGAAATTGCATACATTCAGCAATGTTCCGTATCGACATAAAGGCAGTGCCAGTATACTTGCATTGTTTCCAATCATTGCAAATTCAACGTCCACGAATGCCGACATCTGCAGAGAGATAACAAATCACACAATTAACAAATCGAATAGAAAATTGCAGGAAGATCACATTATCATCATTGAAATATATACAAAATGTTGTCATCGTCGAAACATCTCTGGGAAAATTTGCAATGTTTCATTTATAAATGGAAACTAAAAGTCATGCAATATTGGACAAGGAAAACTCACCAGAGATTGATCCATCTCATTCATTCTGTCCTTGAGCTCCAAGACAATATAATACTCCCACAGATTGGCCGGTCGTTCTTGCTTCAAAGCATAGCAGTTTCCCGTCACTTGACACTTTGCACTGCAAAGAGACAGAGCAAGATGAGAAGATGATGGCTTTAGTGATCAACAAGAGAATAAATACTTACTGGTAAACCTTCCCAAATGTTCCTGATCCCAGCAATTTACCCACATCGAGCGTATGTCCATTCATCTCTATCACGGAATTGGGCTTTATCATCTTGACAATGTTCGTGAGGGTGCAACTCTCGAGTGAATCGAGATAGTTCATGAAGTCCGCCTTCTCGAGGAAGGCATTAATGAGATTTGGATTGAAGGGATTCACCACTTCCTGTCCCAGATTGTGATCAATCACCTGCAGTGTCTCATTCATGTCAATCTCCTTGCGCTGATACGACGACACCGGCTGATTGTCATCCTCACTCCAATCATCCTCCGGATTTATCACGCCATTCACCGAATTGTTCATATAAATACTCTGATCACTGTCATTGCCATTCGACATGAAGTCCTGCCGTGCAATCTTCGTGGGTTTGTTGTATTGCGGACTCTGATTCTTGTACAGCGAATTGTTCACCACCGAGGCATTCCTGCTGCCATCGCGCATCGAAATGGTCATCCTCAGCGGATCACTCTCACTCACGTGACTCACAATGTGCGACTTACGCTCGTCCTTTCGCACACTCCACTCTTTGGCCTCAGGCAGCCACACATTGTCTATGTGGTGCACCGTGCGAGAGTCCCCCAAGCTCGGCGGTTCCCTCTTCACCTGCTCCACCTTCCCGAAGATGTCCTTTCGCGTCGACGTGGACATCTCGTGCAGATTATTCGGCGGGAATGTAAATGACGCGTCATCCTCCTTCAACACACTCAGCTCGTGCCTCGCAAACTGCGATTGCTCCCTCACAGAATGCACATCCAGGATTTTTGGTACTTTTGGCACAGGCGGCGCATTATAGCTTCTAGACGTGTACAAATCACCGACACTGTACTGCTGCATGGGAACAAACACCACATCATCGTCCTCTTCCACGGCGCCCCTCGCCGTGGCAATGCCAAGGCGCTCCGGGAGTTTGCTCAGAGATTGACCATTGTGTGAATGAGACAATCTCGTGGACTCACTGAACATTGGTCCCGCCGCTCCACTGCCATTCCCACTCACAAGTCTTACCTACAAAACAGAGAAGAAGAAACACCAGAAATTTATTAATAACCAATTCCCGAAAATCATTGAGAAAATGACATTCTTCATACTTCTCTCTTCACACTTCCGCCAATCTTCGATGTCTCCGCCACTGCATCCGGATCGTGCTTCGCGTAGATCGACGAAGTCATCCCAGACACTGCCATTGGATGCATGCTGGGAAATGTGAATGAATCATTGCCTCTTCGCGGTGATATTTTGCTGCTGTTGAACGTCTTCTTTCCAGCCTGTGGCGACTGCAAGAAGTCATCATAGTAGTTGTCCATGGGAAGTGTTGGCTTCTTCGATGTCGCGAGAACACTGTCCGTGTGATCTTTGTAGACAGCAATTGGCGTACTTCTCACATCGTGATAGTCCAGTGATGAGATCGCACCGTGAAGTGCTTGCGTTGTGGTCACTTGTTGTCGCCTTGTGAGCAAATTGTCCGGTGAATCGTTAGATGATGTGGAGGACTTTGTGCTCCCACGACTCCAGAATGTAGTCGTGCTGGGCTCCGTTGTCTCCCAAATCGTGGACAATTGCTGAGTCGTCTTGGTTTCAGCCACAGCCACTTCGGGCTGCTTCACATCGCACTGCTGCTGCTGCTGTTGCTGCTGATTCAGCGGCAAACTCGAGCGTGGCGTGTGGATGGGCTTCTTGAGATCCTGTTTTGGAGTGCTCACACTCTGTGGCTTGATGAAGAAGTTGAACGTCTGCGTGCTACAGCTATCATTGATGCTGGGCATCGGCTGTGGTGGCTGAGGAGGACAGAATTCATTGGTGTGTCGCTGCTTTTCCATTCGCACACGCTGAAACTTCACCCGACGCATCTCCTCGAAGCTCACCTCCTCATGATCACCAATAGCCTCAGCACAGCACATCAACTTCTCATTCGGCAGCAACTTCACCTCTGCACTCTCCACCACAAATTCATCCTGCTTCTCACTGCGCTGCCGGAAGTTCTCCGGCAGGCGCACACCCTGTTCAAAGCGGTTCTCCACGAAATCCTCCAGCTCTGCTGTGATCTTCGCTCGCATTCCGCGATTCCTGTACCAATTGAAAGCTCGCAATTCCTCTGGCGAAAACACCACAAGTCCACCCTTCGGATAGCACAGAATCTTGTCGTACAGCGGAAACACCCTGGCCGCCAGATCCTCATGCTGCGCCACACTGACCATCCAATTCGGCTGGGGCGCATTATAGCGCACAAAGTTCTCCGGAAGACGGATTGCATCACTCAAGTCATCAGAGTCCTCCATGATGTCAAAGTCCAGTTTCGCGGCGCTTCGTGAGCCCGTGGGAAAGAGAGCACTGCTCTGGGTACGCTTCTTCGCCTTCGTCCACGGTCCCGGCTCCCACTGGTTCTCCTGCTTGCCAGCACTGCCCACAATGCTGCGGATGCCCGACGAGGTGCCCGCCTCCGGTGGCCCATTGAATGTCTCCTGCTCGTCCACGTAGATGGCAATTCCCGCCGGCGTAGCCGCCTGGTAGGGCGTGCGGGAATTGGAGGCGGGCAATTGGTCGACTCTGCCCGGATTGAGGTCCCTCACCACGCCACCGGTGCGAATGCTGCCAACCCTGCTGCTCTGGTGTCCGCGCAGAGAGGTCAAGGCACTCCGGCGCTCCTCCATGTTCGAGAAGAACGTCTGGCGCGTCCTCTCGTCGCTGTAGAGCGTCCTCTGGCCCACGGAGGACAGAAACTGCTCATGGGCCTGCTTCAGCTCGTCCAGCGGTTGCGCCCTCGCGTCGAAGCCCAACTGGTAGATCTGCTCTGCCCGCTGGAAGTTCTCCAGGACCTCGAAGTAGTACGCCCAGCAGATGTACATGTCCGCCACCATCGTCCCGATGCCCTGATTGTACAGTGTGTTGTAGTGCTCATGGGGCGTCTGCTGGGAGTCAATCTGGAGAAAGAATCTCACTTGAGCGTTCAACTCTTGCGTAAACAAGCACATCGACTCACAAATTTGATGTAGATCTTCACCATCCGTCGATCCTGGTGGTACCTCTCATCGTTCTCCAGCGTCGTGATGCACTTTACCAGGACATTGTCGAAGGCGCTCTGCTTCCCACTCTTGGGATAGCACTGCTCAATCCACAGGATGTAGTCGTACCACAGCTCAAGAGGATCATCGCCAACGTACTCTGCGATCCGTCGCTCGAACTCCCTGAAAGAAGAGATAGCGCCCCGGCGCGTAAGTCACCCCGCGAGTTGGATTGAGGGCACTTGTGGCTCACTCTCGCTTCTGCATCAGCTCCCTGTGTGCATCCTGGTGGTTCTCGGCGTGCAGCGCGGCCTCGAGGAGCGTTATGTTGCGACCACTGGCCAGAGGTTGGATGTTTTCTTTGGCGTTGTCGATATTCATGGCTGTATTTCCCCCGAGAAGCAGTACTATAGCTCTTCTACCATCGAAGGGCCTGGTGCAAAGATGGCTTTGACAAAACAAAAAATGTGTTCAAAAGCACCCCCAGCGAAACACAGGTAAAATCACACCACGCGCACCGACAGTCACCACGAATCGCTGCGCCAATGCTCGCTGAAGTATTTTTCACACTTTTCCACCGCGACTAGATGGAGTTTCAGGGCGAAAAGTGCTTTTTGGCGATCTGTGAACACCTCAACCAATGCGCGTTGATACTTTTTTGAAGTTGCTGACTGTCACTGAAAAACAATGGCGGCTGTCACTGTCAGCCAACCGCTTTTCGGCCGTTTAGTACACCGGTGAGGGCTTCACCGGTGTGCTAAAACCCCCAATAAAATGTGAATCGTGGTGAGTGTCATACGACAGGTCGTCGGGAGTGAGGAGTGTTTGACAAAATCTTTATATTGTCTGCACGGTTGCTGGAAATAATATTATTTCTGTCTCTTCACTGTTATATGATTTTTGATTCTCCTCTTGGCCTATTTTTTTCAGGATAGTATGATTAGAGAAGTGAAACTTCTCATTTCAACAGCGTCAAATGCACCAATAATTTATTAGATGCTCGAAATTCAAAATCACCTGAAATGCCATCTTTTTATTAAACACAAAATGAGAAAAGACAGATTTGTCGTGTGACAATTATAAGAAATATTTCTTCTGTACTTCCTTTACTGGTCATCTTCGGCGCGTCTGAGTCAGAGTTCCGGAATTTATTTTCGTCGTCATTCTGTTCGTGCACGTATATAATCTCGCATTTCTCAGTGGAAATTTCATCATAATTCCGTGTAGTTAAATCTTGTGAGTATCTCCAGTGTTGGATTAGCGCCTCTGCCATCCGTTGCACCTTCCAACAGTGACAATCTTTGGGCGTTTTCGCAGAGATTCCTCAAAATCAGAAGTGGCTAAAAATAGCTCACCGGGAGTGCAGTTGACTTTTGGAATTGACCTTCGACACAGAAATCCAAGATGAGCCTCGTGTGGACCCTCATTGCCACCTTCCTGTACGCGGAGATCGTGGTGGTGCTGCTTCTGGTCCTGCCAGTCGCCAGTCCCGTGCGCTGGCAGCGCTTCTTCCGGTCGCGCTTTCTGGCAATGATCGGGCGCCAGGCGCAGATATACTTCTATCTTTTGCTGGCAGTGCTGGTCGTCTTTCTCATTGAGGCCGTGCGCGAGATGCGGAAATATTCACACACCGGCAAGTAATACGTAATTATTTGCACGCGTTCGTCTATTAATAACCCACCCTTCGTTGCAGATCCTGCCATGGAGGCGCACCTCAACGTGGGCATGCAGCACAGCATGCGGCTGTTCCGGGCGCAGCGCAACTTCTACATCAGTGGCTTCGCTATCTTCCTCGTTCTTGTCATCCGTCGCCTTGTGCTGCTGATCTCTGGCCAGGCCACTCTCCTGGCTCAGTCAGAGGCCTCCATGCGACAGGCCGAGAGCGCCACCACTGCTGCCCGCAGCCTGCTGTCTCAGCAGAAGGACAAGAGTCCTGAGAATGACACCGAAGTGAACATTCTCAAGGAGAAAGTCGCTGAGCTGGAGGGCGAGCTGAAGCGTGAGAAGAAGGATAAGGAAGCCCTGAAGTCCCAGGCAGAGAGCCTTAACCGAGAGTACGATCGTCTGACTGAGGAGTACAGCAAGATTGAGAAGAAGCTGACTTCCTCGTCAAAGGAGGATTAATTTCCCACTTTTCCTATGACATTCATTGTTTCATTACTAGCTATTCCCATAAGCTATATCCAGGGTCTTTTGTATTTCATACATTGCGCGCTATAATTTGTGTTTTTCCAGCCAATTCCTAACATTTTCCGGGTGATTCTCGAGCGGAGTTGAATAAATGGCCCGCGAGTACTAAAAATCTCTGTTTTTGTTTTTCTGTTGGTGTCGCGCCCTGGCGGAAGCTGTGAGCATCAGAACTCACAGCATTTAAGTTTTCAGTGGTTGCCACGAAGCGCTAGCGTCGTAAAGCAAAAACGCGTTGGCAAAATATATTTTTGTAGAAAATCATGGAACCTCTCTACCATCAGACGAATAAATTGATACAGGACACACAGGAGTGCTTCCAGCAGCTCAACAATTCACAAGTGGATGTGGCGAGTGTTGAGAGTGAGATTTTGTCAAAAATCACCGCTGTCAATGCGTGAGTTGGGAATGTTTTTCTCATATTTGCTTGCATTTTCACTGATTTACCCGTCATTCTAATAGGAATTGTGAGCGACTTGATGTGTTCCTGTACAAAGTACCTGTGGCTCAGCGGCAAAATGCCAAGATGCGGGTGGATCAGCTGAAATACGACATCCGGCATTTGCAAGTACATGTCATGATATGTCTGGTCTTTCCGGAAGGGCTTTTAGTAATGCTGCTGTCTTTGATCCTCCCTTTCAGGCTGCTCTGAGAGTGTGGCAGGAGAAGAAGAAGCGAAGGGAGATAGAAATCAGCGAAAGAGAGCAACTTCTGAACCGTCGTTTCACTGCAAACACTGAAATGTCGATTGATATTGATTATTCCGTGCAACACCACAATGCAATGCAGAACGCCCACCGAGGAGTGGATGATATGATAAGCTCAGGTAATTCTGCAATATTTCACGGCTTGAATCGCAATAGCAACGTTCTCGGCATGACTTTCAGGTGGCAACATTCTTGATAATCTCCGAAGTCAGCGAGAGACACTGAAAGGCGCCCACAAACGTATCATGGATATTGGGAATACGCTAGGATTGTCGAATCAGACCATGAGGATGATCGAGAGGCGCGTGAAGGAAGACAAATACGTGCTATTCGGCGGAATGTTTGTCACAGTGACGATAATAGGGCTATTTTTGTATTACTTTGTATTCTAGCCCAAAGCCTCTGAACTTTCCCGCCCAACCACATTTCCATTGTTTATAATGTGTCCCAATAGTTCATACTATATGCGGCTTTTGCTAAGGCAAATACAGAAAATTTATTTATTGAATGTTTTCTACACATATTTGAAAGAAGTTATTTTTAAGTTTCCCGCGCTGCAAATATGATCGTCAAGCAGCGCCTCTGGTGATTAACATTCTGAGCGCAACAATAAAACGTAACCTCAAAAGTGCGAATGTGCTTTGAAAACAAATATGTGTTTTTCCGACGCGTGATAAAACCGTGATTTTTTCCAATCAATCTCCCATAAATCAATGTACTTTGCATCAAAAGTGCCTTCTAGAGTGTTCAAGTGTCTTTTTCCGCTGCAATATCGCCAAAAGTGACTGTCTTTCTCTCCGGAGAGATACTTTCTTTCGCGGGAATCGAATGAAAGTCTCCACTAACCTTTCCCACGAATTTTTCTTCGCAAGCATCAGTTCTGCGAAGTTCAGCGATATCAACTTCCTGTCCGGGTAAGCCGTCTTTCACCTTATCATTTTCATGGTATTTGCCGATAAACTGGTCTTTCTCCCTATCGCACAAATTGGTGTCTTTGAGTGCCTTCTCCAGTTCGGTCAGTTCGTTGCATGTCTGCCTGGGAGTTGTGTCTGTTTTAGGGGTTTCCCCGGGTTCTGGCCGCAGATTCCCTTCTGCCACGTGATACTTGCGAACACTGTCTATCGCTTCGTCGGTGAAGAGCTCAGGATGCTCGCGCATATAGCGATAGACGTACAGATCGGCGCTGGAGATTGTGAAGCGATGGGAATTGATGGTCAGAGTGGAATTGATGAGAATATCCTTAGGCGTGTAGTATTCGGGCTGATGAGGATCACACCCTGGCTTCCAGACGCGCTGGGAAGTGAGGAATCGTCCGCCCATGATGCCGGAATTCGGGATTTTGAGCTCCATTATCGTAATTGTGCCGTCGGAAAGGCAAAACTGGAGGATGAACTTCCTGTTCCTGTCCTCTGGATAGGGAGACTCCAGACTGCAGCCGTAGCGAAGGTACTTGTTGACGTTCTGCAGATAGTTGATGATGTCTTTCTTAGGTGGTTTCGCCACCAGATTAAAGTGCGACGCGAGTGAATCTTCCGGAGTGCCGAGACCTAAGTAGGGCGGAATATTGGGCTTTGGGGCCACTTTCTTAGGTGGATGAAAGATAAATCTCTCCCTCTGACGCTTCTTAAGCACTCTCTCGTAGTACTGGCGCGTGAACTCGTCACAATCTATCAAGAGGAATTGTCTGCCATACACACTGACAATCTCTCCAATCATCAGATCCGATGGAGTGTAATAATCCACACTCCTATCTTCCCTGTCCCTCTCATTGGAGGGATATTCAACAGGTGGGTGGTGCAGATTCTTCTCCAGTCGCGTTCGCTTCAGCAACAACGGGAATCTATCTCTCCCCTCGCGATTCTCTTTGAGCTCCTTAATCGAGATTGTGTCATCTTCGAGGTAGTAGAAGAGTTTGTAGGTCATGTAAGTTCCGCCGGGACGATCGCTTTCATCCAGAACACAGTCGAAACTGGGTTAAAGAGCGAATCATTAATTTGTAGGCCAACTTTGCTAATCATTACTGCATGCACTCACTGCAAAACCTTCCCTTGATAGTCGAGAAAGCGCCGCAATTTGCCATCCGCTTGTGGCTTAATCTCAGAAGCGCCAATGGTTTCGGCATAGACGGGATGTGTGTATTGCGCTTCTGGCTCCTGTAATTCAATTCCCTGGCTCAGCATGAACTCCCTGGTGAACGGATCACAGCCTGTCACATGGAAGTTGATTCCATTTAAGTTTAATTGACTGCCAATATTGATGTCCTTCCATGTGTAAAATTCCCCAGAGGGATTCTTCATAATTCTGCTGCGCCGGATTATTCTGCCTTGAGGGAAGCCGGAATTCTGGAATACAGCAATTCACTCATTTTCGTAATATTTCCTCATGGTTTTTGATAGGATTTAACTCGTTTTTGCCACACACTTTATTCAGCGTGAACATATTGATTTTTTGACGTGTGCTCTTGTGCATCAAAATCTCACACTCGAGCTCATGATATATCATGATGAATTTATTAATTGAGTGATGGGTTTTCACCTGAATTTGCGGCTCCAGCACCGTTATCGTGTCATCCTCCAGGAAGTACAGAATATTCACGTAACGAATACGATTGGCATCCTCAGGAAGCTCGGCGACTTGCTGGCGGAAGTAGCCTCTGAATGTGAGAATCATCTTGTCGTACTGCACAAAGTGTGGGTAGAATGGCGGCACTTGGGGCTTCCGGATGCATCCGTACGTGAGAATTGGGTCATACGCTAGGGGATCGTCGGTCTTGGAGATGAATTGCACAGCCTGATCGCGGAAGATTCCAGCGCCTCCGATGGCACAAGCGGGCTCTTCGGCAACACAATAGCCATTCCTTATGGTCAGACTGTGCGACAGATGGTGATTCTGCTTTGTGTGGTCCTCAATTTGCAAGCCAGGCAATTTGGGAAGTCCCTCCATGATGAAAATGTATTTCAAACAGACTGAAGAATTATTCAAACAACAACGTCAAAGGCATAGTTGCTATAGTGATTCTCGCTGTTGGTCGAAAATTGTGTGTTTAATTGTTTGGAATATGCACATAAAGCCCTAAGTGAACGAGGCAAATTGAAATCTAGATGTTTGTGAAATGAGAATTCCACTTGTATCATCATAAATGCATGCTATGTTTGATTTAATTTACTCAAAATCCATGTACAGTTTGGCGCATGAATGCTTGACAAATGGAGAATTAAATTTTTCCATACTTATAGAGTCTATAAATGATTCTTTCGTGGATCACAATTGTGACACTGACTGTAATTCAATATTTCCAGCTTAGAACAAATAGATACAGTGTGAACATCAACATCTCTGCTTCAATGTGCACAAAGGAGAGCCATTCAAGAAGTCAAACTTGAACTCTCGGAATTGCATCAAGCGTACACGAAGTTTCGGCAAACAAGGAAAGTGAATAATGTTCAGCAAATTTGGCAGTTGTGGTTGGAAGAGTTGTGGCTGGAGGGGATTTTTCAGAGCACCGCTGCGGAAATTCCATCATAGTCTGATAGATGTTGCCCCGGAAGTTTCTCAGGCGCTGCAGAATGCAGCACCAATTGTGGCGCTGGAGTCCACAATCATCACACATGGAATGCCTCATCCGCAGAATCTGGAGACGGCGCTGGCTGTGGAGGATATTGTGCGAGCTGAGGTGAGTGTTGAGATGCCATTGAGATGCAATTGACTAATTCCTCTCTCCCTTATTTTGCTCCCTCCAGGGCGCCATTCCGGCAACGATTGCAATTCTCAATGGGCGCATCAAGGTGGGTCTCAGCGGGGAGGAGTTGAGGCTTCTCGCCTCACCTGAGATGAAGGCAATTAAGACGTCCCGTCGCGATTTGGCCCACATTGTCAGCACAGCGGGGTGTGGGGGCACAACTGTGGCCGGCACCCTGATTGTGTGTAATGCCGTGGGCATCCACGTCTTTGCCACAGGTGGCATTGGTGGTGTTCATCGCGATGGACACATTACAATGGATGTGTCGGCGGACTTGGTGGAGATGGGAAGAGCGCCAGTTGCTGTTATATCGAGTGGCGTGAAGTCCATTCTCGACATTCCACGTACTCTCGAGTACTTGGAGACGCAAGGTGTGTGCGTGGCCTCGTGGAAGTGTCCGGAATTGGATTTTCCGGCATTCTATACGCGCAAGAGTGGCGAAAAAGCCACCATCAATTTCAATTCGCCTCTCGAAGCGGCCAAATTAATTGATGCGTCGCTCAAACTGGGTTTGAAATCAGCGATTTTAATTGGCGTTCCCATTCCTGAGGCTTTCGCGATGAGCGAGGAGTCGATCAATGAAGCCATAGAGGGTGCATTGCGAGAGGCGAGCAGTGCTGGTGTTGCTGGAAAAATGGTGACCCCTTATCTGCTGAGTGTCATTGCAAAAATCACAGAGGGACGGAGTTTAGTGGCAAATATGGCATTGATAAAGAATAATGCCAAAATTGCTGCACAAATCGCCGTTGAGCTGAGCGGCATTGGGAGGGGAATTAACGCAGCGCCAAATGCGGCTGAATGTAATTCCCATAAATATTGCCCGGTGAGTGTGCACAGTATTCGCAATAACCTCTGCAATCTGAATCCCAAGCACTCAATTAGTCCTAATTTTCTCGTATGGAATTTTCACATAGAGAACAATAACGTCGTGTGTTATTTAATTTGCAGACCATCATCGGTGGTTCTATTGTTGATATTGGCTACACTGTTCTTGGCGATGTGGATATTCAGGTGAGTTAAAATCTAAGTTCCCATCTGAATTTGTCGTAAATTTTTAGAGAATCATAAATTCTATGAATGAATGGAAGTTTGAGAAAGTTTGCGCAAAACACACCACTGCAATAAATGTTTAAATTCTAATATTTCTTTGTGACCCAGTTGCAGAGGATTTAGCCAAATTCAGGACAAATGCAACCACTTTGCTAATCAGATTAGTTGATGACAAGAATTGAGTGTTCAGTTGATAATTCCAGAAGGTTTATTTAAAATATCTCAGTTTTCTAACTATATACACAATTTAACAATTTCACAATGAAATATATTTCTTGAATTCTTTTTTTTTATTTTTCGTTCTCTATTACACGGTTATTCTCTCTTGGATTCCTTCAATTAAATATCATCTCTATCATGTTATGTGGAATGAGGATTATTGGATTGATTACTTCAATGAGATTATCTCATCGTTTTATTACATAAATTTGTACATGGTTCTGTGGTATTTTTTTTTGATGTGTGAGTGTTGGGCGAAATTTTTTCTTGTGGGCATGACTTTTGGAGGATGAGATTATTGGTTGTTCTCTCTCTGTTTTTTTGCATATGTTATCTGAAAAGGTACTCGTCTCGTTTTTTTATTCACACAAAATTTATCTCTCCCGCTATATATGGAATTTTGATTATTCTGTTGACTCAAATTCTCTGAATTCACCATCAAATATTGAAACATGCAAAAATATCTATCTATTTAAACCTTTTTTTTATATTGATTTTTAATCGTAATTCTTTTTATAATTTTCTCTCTTATCTGCATTCCTTCATATTTCGTTTGTCTACAATTAGGTTAATTATCTTGAATAAATTTATGTAGCTTCTATCTCAATTGGTAATTTTTTTTCTCCTTCCATCCATGTTCATTTTGAATACAAAGGAAGCAAAGCACTATATACAACAGTTAATACTATGTAAATATGGTAGATATCTCCTTTTGTCGGATGTATTCCTTAGTTTAGGCAGAGAACCTCTTCCTTATTTTTTAACTATATTTATCTTACTCTAGTCAGAATTCATGTAAATCATATTCACTAATCACTATTCTCATGTCTCCAAATCAATCATTCAACTTTACTGATATGATTATTCATGTGATGGTAATATGATGCTGAAGTTAGAATGGTTTTTGGGGATATTTAAATTGCATTGATTGGTTAATTCTTCCGTTTTCTCATTACAATTCTCCCTCCTATGCATCAACATTGGTTCATTCATATGTATATTAGTGCTATCAATGTAGTTCTGTGTTGATGTTGAACACATTAGCCCTATTCTTGAGCGGAAAGTGACTCCCCAATGTTGAACTGTTGAATAATAATATTCCTCTAGGATGTATTATTGAGTGGGTGGTTGAATTTCAAAAGGGACTCTCTATGAGTTTGGTGTCGTGAAATTGTTTTTGGGGAGATTAAGTAATAGGATTTACATCAGAGGTCTTCTGTATATATATAATATTTCTTCTTGTTGTTCTGTGGGTGAGAAGCAAATGGTCAAGTTTAGGCACTATATTGTAAGCTCATTACTTATTTTTATAGTATTTCGAAAAAATAACTCAATTGTATTCAACAAAGCTTTTGTTACCAAAGGAGTCGTTCTTTTCACTTCTTATACACACTCTTACCACTTTAATCACCTTAACGTTAAGATGCAATTAACTTTATAGTTGTCTTACCGATAAGTAGATATCCACTAATGTATATTACATTAAGTTTAATTACTTAATTCATACATATTTAATGTTATGTACAAGTGGATAGAATTTCAGGATATTACGTTACGTACTTTAACCGAATGGAATTTTTATACGCTATAAATACAATCCTCTTTGCTGGCCTTCCTATATGTGTGTAAGGTATAGATTAAAACACTTTATAAGGAGTTTCTGAGGGGTTCATTTTGGACATGGCTCTTCTCATTGACTCTGGTGGAAAATAGGAAGAATACAGCTCGATCCCAAAAGTGTCTTTGGGGCTCATTAACTCTCAGCAATTGAAGTCGAGCTCATTCTTTCTGCTATACAACTTGAGGACTGTGCTGTACATTATATATGGAATTTTCCGGAATAATCGCTGCATTAACATTTCAATCTCTCATCCCTTATTGTCTCTATGATAAAACGTTTTTTTCCTTGAAATTTTTAAAGTCTATTAAGCGTTCAATGTTGTTTCTTAACAGATTCTCTAAGTAATAAATACATACTCTCCGTGTTTTACACTTAAAATAAATGCAAAACGACAATTTTCCAGGTATGTTGCAGATAAGTGAATTCAGTTGAATGACTTATGAGTCATCTGGCATGTGTCGTCTTGCACGTAACACACTTACTCTTTTGAATATTATCCTATGTCACTATATGGTTTTAAATGGTAATAATGTAGGCGGAGAGAAATTATGTGCACATGAGTTAAAATGTCTTGAAGTTGACTTCAAAATCAATGTTCTATCATTGAACATTTACAGGGGGGAGAAAGTATAAGTTATATATATATATATATATGGCACTTTAAATTAATTTATACATTTTTACACGTTGTGATAAAATATCACGTCTCAAGACGATGCCATCACACTCTCTTCCTTGGCGCTTGCCTCCCACAATGTTCGGCTTCACTGCTAAAGTTCTCTCTACTTCACTTGTGTATCACTCATTGGCCTAAATATCTTCACAATCACAGTCAATTCTATCACCAGACTCTGTTGATCGGTACATTCGTATTTCTCTGCCGCGACCGGATCTGGAGACTCGGGGGTGTCTTGATGCGATGACTGTCGTTGGTACTGATGGGGATCTACGCCATTGATCACCGAAGAGCTGCTCCAAGTAATACCGTAGTCAGATTTTAGTTACTGTAGGCGCATTAAGTAGCCTGTGTGGGGGGATGAGAAGAAGGTTTTAAGGGTGACACATATTTGCATATTTGATGAAGATGGATAGGGAAGAAGAGAGGCAGAAAGAGAATTGATAGGGAAAGAATATTGCAAATTAGATTGTGTACCTATAAGTTGGTGTCTTGCTATCAAATTCGCTTAATTCGTAATTATTATTTCCATTTATTGTCTTTGCTTGAGTGCCTCCTGTGTCCTCAACGATAAGGGCACACCCGGAATTGGTGTCTGAATCTACACCTTGCTGCTGCTGTTGTTCTGTACACATAAACAATTGTTTGTGTTTTATATTATATTTGGGTGTTATGTCGTGAACGAGCAATGACTCCCGTTCACTTTCCCCAGAGCCAATTCGGGTACGTTCACGATCACGATTTCCCACCTTTGGTTCTGCATGAATGCCACCATTAATTGAGGTGGATGATATTTGTTGCGATGGCAAGGGTGGCTGTGGCTATAGTTGATCGAGGGGGGAGAGAGAAAAGAGAAGAGAAAAATATTCACTAAATCCCTATTGCAATGTGTCGCACAAAAAATAAAACGTGAAGGGATTAAAGCAAAAGGATAATTGATTTTTTTTTTGTTTTTTTGAAAAAGAGCATGCAATTCATACTGGCTGTAGGTGTGTCGTCTCGGCATCAGCACATAGGATTGCCGCGGCCATTTCTGTTTGGAGCAGCTTGATTTTTTGGATCATCTCTTTTATCTCGTATCGGAGTATCCCCAGAAAGCACAATTTGAGGAATGCTATTACACAATAGCCCAGCACAAATAGAATGTCCGCAGTGCTCTTCAGCCACTGTATTACTTTGTCGATGCAGCCCTGAATGGAGAGAGAGAGGGAGAGAGAGAGGAGAAAAGTACACCCTATCAATCATATTGAACTCTATTGTGTTGGGAAACACTCCACTTTTTTGTCAACTACAACTTTTTTATCTGTGCATTGTGCGGGAAAAGCTCTAGCCGAATGTCTGTGAGTTTGATGAACATTTTTTTGGCTATCCAGAAAGTTTTCACCTCAATTTCGTATGGAAATTCATCTGGTGAAGTTGCATAATTCAGACACGTTATATGTAGATAAACCCAGAATGAAGGTTGTGCAATATCCATGAGAGAATTTTAATACCTTCAAGAGTATTGAAATTTGCATATCAAACATCGTATATGTCTTTTGGCTATAAAATTGAATTTACGATGAACTTCTCTAATAGCATTAAAAGAATTTTTTAAAATGCAATTCCCCATATTCACAGAATAAGCGGAAAATCTAATAAAATGTCTAGTTTTTTCAAAAATAATTATGGACTGGATAATTGTTTGTTATTTGTGAGCAAGAGTCTGGAGAATAAATCCCATTGTCCGCAAGAATCTGTGCAAAATTAACATGATGAATAAAGCAGTGAGATTCATAATCTCATGTTTCACGAGTTGTTCTCAGAACAATAAGAACGGAACGAGATTGCTTGCAACATTGATAGATTAATTAATCTTTTCGTGTCATTGTGGAGTTTCTTCCTTAAATTGTTTATGAATAATACCTGCTGGTAGACTGCTCGACAAGTGGCCACAGATTTGCTCTCCTCGCGCGCTGCACTGACTATGTGACTCCATGTTGATTCCGGCATGTCTGTGTAATTATTTCGTGAGAGAATACCTAAAGTTGTCAACTCGTCACTGCGAAAGACCACGGGCGACGCCAGAGGACGCCGGGATACCGTAATCTGCTCTGACACATCCGGTGAGCAGCAGGAAATAGGATATGAACGATTTGGGGTATTTGAATAGTCTTGTGGTCCAGTAACGCCGCAACAGCGACCATCATTCTGCAGACGATCCCATAAATCACTGAATTCCAAGGAATTTCCATATTCTGTGGCCAGACGCTTACTGGAATACGAATAGGAGAGTGGCATCAATCGAATTATAACATTTTGCCAGCATGCGAATTTGGGCTTTTGTGTGTGTGTGTCTGTGGACATATTGGGACATTGTCGCTGTCACACAACATTCACCGCAATTTATATTGTGTGGCTTATGGAAAAGCCAAAAGTGAATTTTAATGCCGCATAATTGCATTGCGTATTACCTTAACATTGGTTGCAACTCAGTCATGACTCTCTCGAACTTGAACATCCAAAATATACCGAGGATGGCATCTCCAATTAGCAACACGAGAAGGAGCAACCAGTAAGCGTTTAGTAGTTTCTCCGAGAGTCTTAAGGCACCGAGGCATCCAACTAATTGTAGAAAACCTGAAAACAACACCCATAAACATTGTACACAATATAATATATACAGATTAATGTGAAACTCGAGAGATGCCACACAAGATCGTATGTCTCGTGGCTGTTGATTCACTTGCAATGTTGGGTGTTGATATTAATTGCAATTTAGCACTTTTTGTTTATAAATATTCTTGGCAGCGGAGTTAATGAATAAACTTTTTAACCTGATTGCACCAGCAGAGCGAAGTAAGCGTACACAAAACTCGGTTGTCCTAGATTCAAGCCATGCACCAAGAGACGCTTGTAGTCAGCTAGGAGGACTTTTCCGGCAACGCCACAGAATACAATAACCGCCATCAGGAGCACTGCGTTGCATGTGTAGATCCACAGTCTGTAGTACCTGCAGATTTTAAGAGCATTTCATATGTAAATAGCATGTGTGATATTTAATTGGGATGGGAAAGTTTGTAATTCCGGGTGAACTATGTCGAAAGGTCAGGTGCAAGAATGCAAAGTGCCGCTTGCGAAAATTTCCGCGTATGATTTTAGGGCAATTTATAGTATTTATTGAAGTATGCAATGCAGAATGCGTCATATTGCAATGTCGCTTTTCACACTGACGCGAAATTCGTTACCATTTTCCGTGCTATTCTAATGAATTGAATTTTATTACCCAGAGATTTGGATTTGGGGGAAGTAAATGGAAATGAAGAAATTGTGACAGAATTATCAAAAGGATCGTCATGATATTGTTTAGAGACTTTAATCAATATTTCAATTAGATAAATTGATAACAAATTAATAAGTTTCACTTAAGTTTGACATACTAAAAGCAAACTAGCTGCTTTATAACAAGATATATGTGATAAATAACATGTTTCATTGTGTGACTAAACTGGAAACTTTCAGACGAAACTTTAGTGAGAAACATGAACTTCCTGACGAACCGCCGAGATTTAATAAGTGTGAAACATTCGAGAGAAAGTATTTTACATATTTGTGTTCAGTGATTCTCTGGGAACTTTTGGGTTAAGCACTTGACAAAGAGGCAAAAATCTCCTTATGCCGAAACTTTGACAAAGTCATTGCCTTGCGAGAATTGCTATCTATATTGGCCAATATGGGTGGGGTCACTTGTGTGCGTATTAAATGAATGAATTGTGATGGGAGATAGGCGGCGTGTGTCGTGATTGAGAGTGGACTGGCTGACAAAGTGGGGTGCAGGGATGGTGGTTGGGATTGGGCTGTGATACATATCCACTCACCGCATGGCCTTTGCGTCCGGCGTGTTGGTCTGCAGCCCCTTGAGGGTCATAGGGCTCAACTGGGTGCCCGTTTTATTCTTGATTCTGGCTGGTGCTGGCACGGGGCTGAGGTCGTTCAGTATGGTGGCCACAGGCCCCTGGGTCGCCTGAGCCTGCTTGAAGTTGTTCAGTTCCGTCAATACAAGATTCGATCTCACTTGATGAGCGGTGGCGGGTGGTCCGATTTCGGGGAGCGTAAGGCTGGGCTTCAGGATAATGTCGTCCTTGTGGAGTGGTGTGGCCGACGATGATTTTGTGAGATGCTTTTCAAATACAGCCTGATGACTATTGATATTGAGGATATTATTGATTGCTGTCGTTTGATATTCCTGTATGTTATTGTTTTTGATGCTACTTGTGCTGCCGATGGTGCCGCTATTGCTGTTCTTATTGTTGCTACAGCTGTTGATGTTGTATTTTGTGGTGTCAAGTGCGTTAGAGCCCGTCTCGGCCTGCCGTTCACAAACGGTAGATGTACGGACTGACAGCATCACAAACATAGCCCGTAGGTTTCTTTTTATTGCACCAGCACCTTGGCATAATACGATTGTATCCGGATATCTAGTCGCGTTTTTCTTTCTCACCACACGAACAACGATTCTCACACAGGATGCTTCCGTTACAAATGCCTCAGCTTCGTCCTCTCTCACTCCCTACGTGATGCCATTCACATTTATTTTTATGTCACTGGCAAGAGGCGCACCAAATTGGGTATTAATTTATAATTTTCATATTATCAACAGTTGCAATATATCGTATCCGGGAGCGGAAGCGTATAGTGTGTTGCTGTATTGTTGTTGAATTAATGATGCTATCTCACAGATGCGGTCCTCGATCTTTATATCCTTGTCTATTGTTGTTGAAAATATTAATTCAGCCATGAAGCTATTCACCCACAAGTCCAATGTATAAATTTATGACATCTTCTTCCGTTTATTTTTCCTTCCGCACTGTTCGCCATTGCTCATATATCTCTGTGCCTCTCGCCCTCTCTGCCACTTTTCGTTCGCGCTGCTTTTCTTTTGCTTTTATTTACACATTAACCATACCATGACATTTTCTCAGCATCCACCGCATATTAAAAAAAAAACAAAAAGGCCTTCAACCCGTCAGCAATCCCACTATTGCTGTTGCTATTTACACCACAGCAATTTGGGGTGGTTGGGTGAGAATTTAATGGATGATGCGCTTAAAGACACTTGACATTTTCACACAATTCCTCTTCTCACTTCTGTATCTCGCGATGTGCTGAATTATTTTTTACAGTCGAACACCTTTACTCTTTTAAGAATATCTACACTGCACCATTGTCCCAGTCCTCCGCTTTATTTATGACTCACACACACACACATTTAATCCTGTGTAACAGCACGTTTGTTATAAATATGTTGGCATCCGGATCTTGTTCACCAGTGGATGACAATGATGGAGAAAGCTGCTGTGAATGAAGGATGAATTATGATGTGTATCTCATTGAATAATAATTGCGCACAATGTTGACTCTTGCTTCTTGTCTCCGTTATATCCTTGATCTTTTGGCCTTAATTTATTGCACAACGCAGATTTGACGCTGCTGCAGATACATTAGAATATCTCATCCATGGCATTATCTTGTGATTTGATTTTGAAATCATCTCATGAGATGAGACGCTTATCTCGCCACACATATTCAACTTTTCATTCTGCTCCACATGAGCTTATCTGTGAAAATTCTCACGGAGCTCCGCTCGGTGTACAGTGTCGCCATTCTCGTGGATAATGTCTGTAAAGAGACAAGGAATAAATTCTGTAAGAGTGAGGACTTCAAAGTCATGATATTGTATATTGTATAAGTTCCAAAGAAATTACATTGCAGCTATATAATGCAACTATCAAGATAATATACTTTCTTTCCTCTCAGTTCTCCTGATGGATCTCAAGTGTCCAATGCAATGTGAATGTATATTTTGAGAGCGCACGGTTCGAAAGTTTCACGTTCTATCAAATTAGCCAGCAAAGTTACTTGTAATTAATTATTAAAGTTTTTGAGTAATTTGCTATATAGAGAATATGCTTCATATTTACTAAAACGCTCGAGTGATTTTCCTGGCTATGTGAAGGAATATAATCCAAATGAGTTTTGTAAAGCAAACTTGGGTACTTGACAATTGTGCAAGTGTTGAGATACTTTTTCCCGCACATACAATTGGATTCATAGCAGATGAAATTGTTAAATCAATCTTACTCTTGATCTGATTTTTAAATTGCATATTTCTCGTTAAGACCATTATATTACATTCACCAACTGAATATAAAATTTTTACATTCGAAATGATAATAAAAATATTGTGGGAAAACTGTGCATGCAGTCTCGGCACTTCACATTTCGTGTAGGATATAAATGTGTAAAAAATGAATGCATTATTCGGCAGTTATGCAAAGCAAATCGATTCGTATTTTCCTATATTAAAAGCCATAGTATGTCATATCTCTTGATTATTCAATGTAGAGGACTGAAAAAATATCCAATTTAAAATGTTGTTGACATATTGGGGCCGATATTTGGTCTGTGTGGAATTTATTCAATCATATTTGATAGTAAATAGTGAGTGGAAGTCTGATTTATTGGGATATGTGGAGCATCGGAGAGTTGCAATGATGATTCATTGATTATCGGATATTTAGTAAATGGAATTCACCCTATCGTCGAGCGCAGCGACGGTTTTTCATGACATGGTGTTTGTTGTGCTAAAATTAGTTTGAACTGTATAGGTATGTTGGCTTATGTATTACACACATTGCTGTAAATAATGTATGCAATATTTCATGAAAAAGGTCCGGATTCTAGTCATGTTTTCGCTGCAGTTGTGTTTTTTTATTCTGTCCCCACAAAATTATTCCACTGGGCAAACGACATACGACAAAAGTGGTCGATCAGATAGAATGATGTCCTTCCCCAGGACGAAGTGAAAATAGTGCAAACGGTGTACAAAATATTTATAAGGACATGAGGTGTGAGGAAACGTCTCGAGGGAGGATGCCTTGTGAAAGTCACATTGAAAATTCTCCTGCCTCACGTTTGATGACTGTAAATTCGCTGAGATGGTTGAATGTTGGTAATGTTGATGGAAAATCGAACATTTTCTGCGGCAAACACACCAACCGAGAATAGTGCTTAAATATGGTCTGAGGCAGATCGCACACAGAGTTAATATTGATATAGTGAAACCCTTTCGATATGAGCAAAAGGACACACATAGGGGAAATGGAAAGCATATTATTGAGTTTTGTGATATTATGTGGGTATGAATTCTCTAAAAAAAAAAAAGCGTCCGTATCAGGTACAAGAGCAGATTTTCCCTTATCCACAAATGGAACGTGTTCCTACATATTAATGGTGACTCTCAAAGGACACGGATAAACCCGTGCCGAAGACAATGGTGAAACTGGAAAAAATGCTACAGAATTAATTTTTATTCCAACCACGCCGTGAATCCCTCATAAATTATTTATATCAATATTTTATATTGAATTCTACGTTTATGTGAAAAGTTGCTTATTTCTTCTCGTAATGTATTGTCAATGTACAGAACCTGGGCCAACAAACTATGTGTGATATTTTTTCCCTGATTGAATTATGTCTATTTGTACATGAACACAATGAGGCTGCCATGAGTGATTAGCAAGTTTGCATATACATAATGTCTGTTGTGATTTCATAATTCATTATTCAGCTGAATTAGTGTCTCTGTGGGATAAAATGTGTGATGAAAATAAATGAAGTTTGGGAGAGACCCGAGTGACAAGGCAATATTAGGGACGAAAAAAGAGACATAATACCGACAGAGTAATTAGAAAAGTTGTCCCAACCAATTTCACGTAAGATAACTTTATTTTCGGGAAAACCACCATGTTTTTTGTGTCCTTCTTCTCGGCACTAAATGTAAAGATGTAATGTGCACAGTGAGAAGGTCCAATATTCATTGTCACAGATGAATAAAAAGTTTCCCTTTAAACCAGCGTGTAAAACAATAGCGAGATTATGTTTAATTCAGTGATTTGAGTTTCAATTAAACATTGAAAATCAATTGGAAATTTTCTGCTAGAGTGCTAAAGTGTGGAATTTAATTAAAATAATACTGTGTCTAAAGAGATCCTTTTCACGGCGTTTCAGTCTGCTCATGACACTTTTTTTCCGTGGTTGAGCGCTGCGAAGTGAACTTTGGTTCAGCTCTTTCCGATGCTACTGAGCTTTTAGGTGAGCGCCATGGAAGTTGGAAGCCATTGGAGCATACTTTTTAATTTAATTGTAATCAGTGGTGGAAGTAATTTCCGCACTTCACTTCCCACGAAAGTTAGTAATTTGTGGTGTAATGCATGCTTATTTTTCCCATAAATATAGGTCAATTGTGTTGAAAATAAAAATCAATTGACTATAGCAAAAAACACCCTGTAAACTGCAAAATAAACTCTGTGTCACTCTGAATACGAACGTGGAAATGGGAAAAATCACACTAAGGATTCTGTATAAATGTATAAGATATTGTCGTGTCAAGGGTGAACATTAGACAGACTTGTAATTGAAACCACAATTGCAATTTTGGCTAAGCTATACATTTGTGGGCCTGTTCTGTGTTGCCATTAGAATTTGTGTTATATCCTGTGAGTAATTTTTTGGGTAATTCAACTAAAAACGCCACACTGTTGGTTTTCCGCGGTCCATGCCATTAATGCAAAGTGGAGGGAATTTCCATTAAAAATTACAAAAATAACAAGAGTGGAAGCATTTAAAATCCTCCCGTATATCCTTAACATTGCTAATTTTGTTGTTCTGGTGAAGGAACGGAGAAATTGCGCCTTCGAGTTACGGTAAAGTAATTTTCTCATACATTAATTATTACCTTCATCCATATTGATGTGTTTTTATTCAAATCATTTTGCTAAAATTATCCTGCCGTGTTTTTGAGTGATTCATGTATTTCTGACTGGTTTGAAATAGGATTAAGTTCTTTGTGAAATTCGCTTGTGTCTGTGTGTGTTATATTGGGCAGTGAATGTTTGTAATTTTTATGTTTAAAGTGAAACTATATGAGCAATAATAGCTTTAGGGGAATTTTAATAATATTGGATTGAAACATCATTATTATGGTTTTGTTAATGGACACATGATGTGTTTTCCATAAAATGAAAATGGACTTTTAATACAAAGTTTCTGAAATTGATGAAAATTGCCATAAATTACATTTTATCACATGAATAATTTTATGAAACTGTGAAAAAGATTACTATTAAATACCATTTCATCACATGTTATGGCCAACAACCAGATAATTGGGAATTTTCTAGCAGAATGGATCAACAATTGGATAAAATTTATATGAATGGAGGTCGCAGAGATTTAATGGTGGAACGGTTTATTATATTGGAGGAAAAGTCCCCTTTTCTGTCTAACAAAAGAATTCACGGGGTTATCTCAAGTTGAGCGTGACTTTTATGCTGCAGGCTAATATGGGGTAGTAAGGAACAGAAAGCAATAAACGGACAATGACTTGTAATTTGCACATTTTCCCTCCTTGAAGAATTGCTCCATCTTAGATGTAGCATGCGCACATAAGATGCCATTCGGATAATATATTATGAAAATTGGAATTGTGGGAAAAAATCAAGGGAAAATTGGACAGAGTGCGAGATTATATTGCGAAACTGTGGGGGTTGATCTTCCTCCGCATCTCGTGGGATTGAATGTCTCTCTATTGGCAAATATTCAAGGGATGTGGCGAACCGCAGAGAATTTGTTCTTTCATTAGGATTTCAGTTGAGTGAGTCACAGACATGATATCCTCTTTGAGCATCTGAGAGGAGTGATTTGCCAAGTGAAGAAATCCCTTTGCCTTTTTCACAGTATATTCACGATAGAGATAAGTTATCATTCTGCAAGTGTTGAGTGCCACAAGCTGAGTGAAAAAGCATCTTGGGAGCCACAATACAATTAGTGCTGACGCTAGAGTTTAGATCTAACGGCAAGAGGATACTCTATGACATTCTTCGCGCTCTTTTTTTCGCCATGACACTTTGCCGTGTCTTTGTAGTCTCGAGGATGTCTTGCTGGAGAGTATTAGTATTGTTAAGAGTGGTAATTACAGAAGCTATTCTTCCGCCTTGGGGCAAAAAAGGGCTAGAAAAGTCAAGGCACGATGAAAGGTCATAATTGAAAGAATAAGTAATAGCATTTAAAATGGCATATACGCTGTGAAAGCTCTTTCTCTCGCTGAAAGATAAAAGCCTCCACTTTAGTTTATAGCGTTTTATTTTCTGTGCTACAAGCATAAGCATGCAATTGTCTATGCATCGCATTTCCTGTGTGCATTTGGTCTGTTACACCAGAATATACATACGAAAAAATCACACACCATCACAATGGATATTTTTGGTACAAAACACAAAATTGACCAATTTAATAAAGTGCCCATTTGGGAGTGATTTTACACTGATATCGAAATGTTTTTCGCCCTTGGATGCTTGTAATGTTGGTGGAAAATGCATACTAAAAGTAAATTTCTTTCCATTTTCCGAAATTATGTGTGGAATTATTGTTTGAATATGAAAATTAAAATTTCCTATTCTATGGCTTGGGCAAATAAACACAGCGAGGAGGTTGTATTTGGGTGACCTCCTTCGTGGGGGTGTAATACGTATACATATGTAGTTTGTTATGGCAACAGTGAAAAGGAGCAGGAGAAAATATAGCGAGTGCAGAGTTGTGATGATGCATAAATAAATAAT